CATTTGTTCTGCGCTCGTGGGGTTTGTCGGAAGATAAGCTGCATTGCGTCATTAGCGACACCGCATCGAACATGAAGAAAGGACTGTCGGCCTGGACTTGGATAGGATGTTTTCTTCACATCCTGAATTTGATTGTGAAGAATTCAATATTTACACAAAGCGGAGTGCAAAGATTGATCAAGAAGATCAAAAACTTGATCAAGGAGTTCAGAACCCCTACCGGTGAGAGTCAACACATTTACATAAATTACATTCTTATTATTCAAAATTTTCATTAAAATGTGGCACTGAATTTAAATCATTTTAGCGACTTGCATTTATTATTTTTTAACTATGATATATCAAACTATAGACTATACCCGAATGCAGGGAAGCGTCTACTTAACGAGAACCAGATAAAAGATTCAACGCTACTACGACCTGTGGACACGAGGTGGAATAGTTATTATATGATGTTTGACGTGTTCCAGAGCAAAAAGGCAGCTATCACCGTAACAGCTCAAAATACGGACTTATCGTTGTCTGCATCACAACAGGTTAGTTGATAATAGCTCTTTAGACTCATGTCTCAGTCAGCACCATTTCACTCAGAACCATCTCACTCAGAACCAGTCAGAACCAGTCAACAAGTTTAAAAATTAATCCTCAGTATACTGCAGTTTGAGTATTGATGATTAAAACTTTTCAGATGACTCCTCACGATTGGGACCTTCTTACCAAGGTTATAGTCCTATTGAAGCCATTCTTCATCACAACTAAAGCTGCTGAGGGGGACCGAGTTTCTGTTTCGGAGGTCATTCCAAACATTAAAAAACTGGATTACGAGATCAGAAGTATGTCACTGAGTGGATTAGGAACTCTAAAAGCTACGCTGCTCTCTGAGATGGAACGGTATAGTTTAAAATTTGTTATTTGTATGAACTATGACTTGCCTTACCGACTATTATTGAAACTTATTACTCTCTGAATTCTTAGCAAAACGTACGTAAATTTGAACCTAATGATTAGGGCCAAAGACAACATGCTTCCAAATTTTAAATTGAATTAGGGCCGAATGTCTAATTAGCACCTCAGCAACTGTTTGACTTCTTCACCAACATGTAATTTTTCCCTCAGGTACTTCGTAACCAAGTACGATGTAGAGAAGAAGCCCCAATACTCAATAGCGACTCTTTTAGACCCACGCTTTAAAGCAGCAGCCTTCTCCACGAAAGTCAATGCCGCACTAGCTAAGCAGATACTGATTGACGAGATTTGTACCAGGATTCAGTCTTCACCACCGCAAGTTCCGGTAACTGATGTTTCTGATGACCCTTCAATAGTACAGTCTTCTGGCTCAACATGGGCAGCAATCCTGGATAGTACCTCACAGTCTGAAGAAGACGACGAATTCGAAGAAAATAGTGAGAAGATAAGGAGGGAAGCTAACAGATACTTAAAAGACTCACGAGTTGATTTATCATTTGAACCATTAGTTTACTGGAAAGCTAATAAGCAGAGATATCCGAACCTTGCTGAGTGTTCAAGGAAATATCTATCTGCGCCGGCGAGTTCAGCAGCACCAGAAAGATTGTTTTCTACAGCAGGGCACATCCTGAAGTTAAATCGCCTCAGCCTTAAGCCAACAAACTTTGAGGGGTGCTTGTTTCTCAAAAAGAACATCGGAACATTTGGGGACAACTTCGGCCCCTGTCCAGATGAATTCGAAGCCCCAAATAAAGATGACTGTCCCCCTTCTGAGCTGTGCACAGACGATTATTCTGATTCAGAGTGCTCAGATATTGTAATTTCATCAGACGATGAATCTTAGACTATGATATTTTTAGTTTTGTGTCCTGGTCAATTGGTCGTTTTATTTTCAATTTTACAAATTCGTTTACATTAACCTCTGTAAGTCTAGAAAAATTCCCAAAATTTCAACAAAAATCCTCGGTCAAATCCTCGGTAAAATCGTCAAATTTCGCCGAGGCCGAGGAATTTCGAATCTATTTTTGACCGAGGCCGAGGCGAACCGAGGAATTGTCCTCCTGACCGAGGCCGAGGCCGAGGCCGAGGAAAAATCGCCATTCCTCGGTAAAACCGAGGCCGAGGCCGAGGACTCGGTCGACCCTTGGCTCCAACCATAAGTGTGCATGATGAAAACTCTAACTTCATAGGTACAGACACTGGAAAAGCTGCTACACTAAAGAACCACTTTGAAGAGAAGTTCACTGCAAAACATACAGTTGAGCCTATTGACACTTTCTTTGATCAACCTAGTCCTCTCGCTGACCCTATTACTGCTATTGAAGTTGAGATAGCTGCTAAAGCTTTGAAGAATGGTAGAGCCACTGGGCCTGATGATATCCCAAGTGAATTGATTAAGTATGCAAACAGAAGTGTATTTCAGAAATATGCAGAGTGCAGACTGTATAAATACCGCATTTGAAACAAACACCACCATAACATCTATTGGAAAAGGCAACATTAATCCACTCCAAAAGCCTAAGAAACCACTTGGTCCCTCTCAAACTGCTCCAGAAAATTACTGTCAATGATTACCCTAAAACGTATCCAAGGCAAGCTAGATCAGTACACCGGTCCTACACAAAGTGCTTACAAGAGAGGTAGAAGTTGTGGCGATATAATTTGGTCTCAACGTATGCTAACCTCAGTGGTACTTAGAAAGCATTGGAGCTACCACAGAATGAGTATAGACATGTCAAGTGCCTTTGACACCATCAGCAGAGAAACAGTACTCAATGTTCTTGAAGATGCTGGCTGTACTAGTGATGAAATTAGGATGGTACGGCTCCTACTATCAAACACAGTGTTGAAAGTAAAAGTCAATAATACTGTATCAATTGAGTTCCAAAGCACAACTGGAGCATTTCAAGGAGATGCACTATCAGGTAATCTATTTACTGTTGTTGAAGCCGCTGCACTTATTCACCTCAGATCTGTACTCTCCCAAGTATCATCAACACCTTACCCAGTAAATCATCCAATCCCTAATCCTCCTATCTCAGAAGAATTCATGCCACTCGAAACAGGATACTCTGATGATATTGACTTTAATAACACTGAACTTGCTCCACTCAAAGAAATGCTTCCTATCGCTAAAGATATATTCCAGCAGTGGGACCTTCATATCAATTCTTCCAAGTCTGAATTTGTCCATTTTTATTTAGCAGATCCTAAACCCACTGTTAAACGCAAGGTGATTGTTGGAAAAGTGTATAGAGGTGATGAAGAGTGGCGCTCTAACAAAACTTTAGGATCGTTGATGTGCACTGTTAAGGATATCAAGAATCGAATATTCCTTGGTAATGTTGCCTTTAGTAAATTTCAGAAAGTTTGGATGAAGAGCAAGATTTCAGTCCAAAGGAAGATCAAAATCTACGAGGCACAAGTAGTCTCTATTCTACTCTACAACTGCAACTCCTGGGCTGCACCACTAGCTTCGTTGAATGAACTTGATATTGCTCATCGCAAACACCTCCGAAGAATCCTCAACATCAGATGGCCTACTGGGGTTATTTCTAATGAGGCACTCTATGCTCGTTGTTATGTCACTCCCTTGTCTGTGAGAGTCTCAAAGTTTCGATGGAGAATGTTAGGACATATCTTAAGAGGACAGGAAGACTCACCAGCATACACCTCTATGTTATTTGCTATAAATTCTGATATTTTTATGGAAGGGAGACGGGGTAGACCATGTTTAAACTTATTAGATGTTATTAGAAAAGACTTGACTAGTAGAAATCTTGATATTAGACTTAAGAATTTGACTGATTTCGAAGACCTTAGATTTTTGGCTTTAGATAGGGAGGAATGGAAGAAGTTAGAAGATGGTTGATGTTTTTGTTTTCTTTTTATGCGTTTTGATATCTATAAGGTGCCTAGGATGCTCTTTTAAAGAGATATTTCGTACTTTGAAAGATTTACTACTACTACTAGCATGCGAAGATTGTGAACAAAACTCAGATTTGAAATCAAATCTGGCACTATATTTTAATTTTTAAGGGGGTACGTAGCCTTACCTGGGGACCCCAGGGTATTATGTTCATTAACAAATAGAGATTAGGCGGAATGAAAAGCTGAGCGCGGCCCAGTAAACGTAGCCCTGCCGTGGTTTATGAATTATACACCATGAATTATAGATTATAATTTTTATAAAGACTAGAATATGTATGCAATTAAAAAGCTTACTCATACTAGGCCAGGCGGCGCGCGCTCATGTCAGCCGGTCATTTAATTTTATTCCGCCAAATCTGATGTAGATTCTATTATAAGTTTATAAACATTATATCCGGCCTGGCCTGTCATGCCTGGGGTCCCCAAATAAGCAAGAAGCTTGGAAAGAGCTGCACGATGCCGCGCGTATATGGTATAGCCATAGGGACTGGAATTTTTCGTATCACGCCGTGACCCCTTGTATCACGTTGCGACCCCCACGGTCGTTTATCGTCCTGACGATACAGAGGGAGCCGCGCACTTCGTGCGCGGCGGGTCATACAACGTATGACAAGTGCAAAGTGACCCCCACGGTCGTTTCACTCGTGCGCGGCGGGTCATAAAACGTATGACAAGAATTTTCCAAGGTAAAAATGCAAGTTTATTGGGCCGCGCTCAGCTTGTCATTCCGCCGCAGCTTCAATTAATATCAAATTATATGTTTTAATTTAATAAACATAATTAAACCTGCTATGCGGTCCCCAGATATACAAGTTGAAGTGTACTAGGTATTGGTGATGTATTAAAGGACTTCGAATCCGGCCTAAACTTAAATGTTGGATGTACAAGTTAGTTAATACTTTTCAAGTAATTGTCAACTAGATTAAAGCATCCTAATCCACATAACAACTTCAGCTAGTTCTAGTTATAATCTGATATCTAATTTTTGAAGTTTATTTTCAATTGAAATGCTTGACTGTTGACAGATGTTACTCGTCTAAATTTTTTCGAAGTAGCGCGCGCCGGGCTAGTCCATTAACAATGAACAATTGAAATGCATGAAATAGACTTTTCAACCAATCTTTAAATGTGTAACTGTATCAACAATCAATTTGATCTACCCTCGATCATCGATGCATATTGGGACATAAAAGTTCAAATTCAATTCCCAGAGTTTCTTTAAGATAAGGAGCACATTTAGTGATGCTGCCTACTTTTAAAAGAAAGAACATAAGTAACAACATCCTAACTTCATGTGCATAAAGCCGTTACCACTTGTACTATAATATATAATTCTGATTAAAACTGTAAAAAAACTTTCAGAGAAGACCAATAGTCAGTCCAGTTCCACTAAGAGCAACAAGACTTCTTTGGCAATCTTTAGGTTTGTAAACAGTAGATTATTCTTAAAGAATGATGACGATTCCAGTTCCGTTCTTTCTTGGATCCCCTGAAAACACAGAAATTAATTGAAGTGCAGAATGACCTAGCAAAATTCCTTGATCTATAAATTAAGTACTGTCTAGTAGAGCACCGATTTGCCGCGAAGTTTTGGGAAAGGAAACAGCTGCAGTTAATTGGGGTGCTTGGTTAACGTGCATCATGGACACTATAAAAGTGATACTGATCTGATAAAACAGGTCAGTAGACAGTAAACACGTACTGGGTCATTTGAAAAACAAGAGATTAATATCACTGACCTTCAGCCTCGTTTCTACCCCAGAGTTTAGAAACACTGTTAACTGAACTCATACCGGTGGTTCTCTCTGTCATATTGTATCCTAGATCACTCAGTCCGGCTTTTACTCGAGCGTTTAACGGCGTTACTCCTGCAGTGGTATTATATATTATTATATTATTATTGATTATACTATTATACATATTATCATATTATATAAATGATCATGACTAGTTATGCTGACACGGGAGAGGTTTGGTTATTTTGAGGTCGGTTTATCTGGGATTTAAAAAGTGACTCGTTATAATTACTTAAGATACCTGGGACTACTTCGTAGAGAGTTTCCTGATTCAGTTGATCGTGTATTCTGGCCGCTCTTAAGTTATCATCAAGGGGCATCTTCCAATCCATGGCATTTACCAATGACAGCAGGACCCCTGGTAAGTTTATTTTGTTGGAAACATAGTTTTATCTTAATCTAATGTCCAATTTGTTTTGTTGTCGTATTAGTGGTTTAAGAAATTTAATGTAAACTCTAACCTGAAATTATCCTAGAACCACCAGCTGCACCAGTCACAAACGTAGCTTCCTGAAAGTGGAACAGCATAAATATAATCTCAGGTCAAAATGTTGATTACATCCTCTATAAAGATAGGAACCAAACTTTACATCTTTTATGGTCATTATTTGTAAAGTTTTCAATGTTTTGTTTTCTTATATATATTATATACCTAAAAGCATTCATCAAGGAAATAAACGTGAAGGAGCTCAGATCTTTTAAAAACAGCTGATAAAACTTAGATCCAAGCTAGAACTTACCCCATCGCTATCAAATACGATGGAAGGTGATGATGAGGACATGGGTCTTTTGCCCGGTTCTACAAAGTTCTCTGGAGAGGGATTGTACCCAAACGCGTTCTTGAAACCCGGGGTTGAGAAATCATCCATCTCGTTATTCATCACAATACCGTTATCTGTCATTACTCGAGCTCCAAAGTAGAGGTTTACCGTCCTGTGTTGTACAACTGTATTTAAAATACTATGGTTTAATGTGCACTACAACATGAAGTTGAAACGTTTAACGGTTTAAACATGCACGAACGACGCATTTTTTGGTTAAAAACAAAATTAAAACAAAGTTAAATCTTGTTTTTCCATCTCAATTAATTTTCAAACTTACGAGGTACAAGCAACCGCCTCCCCACCAGGACCCATCACAGAGACATGTGTCGTGTGAGTTCCGTCGTAGTTGGTGAAGATAGGGTTACTATACTCAGTGTAGTCGGTGTATGGGACTTGTTGGTCGTAGCTGTCCTTCGTAAAATGTCCTTTTAGCAGCGTCTTCATATATGTCTTGCTGAGAGGAGACATGTGACGATGGGTGGGTGTTTGACCATTGGTTTATGGTTTAAGATATTTCTATAAACAAGTCTAAACAAAAGTCAAAATACTGCCCAGAATAGTATCGCGAATGTAGTAAAGGAAAATTCTTTAGTTCAAAAATGATAAGACGATAACTACTCAAAATACGCCATAACTAATACTATTGTATTGGATCAAAATATCAAAGTGCTGAAATGAGGACTAAAATTGAAAGAGAAACTGAGATAGAAGCTGAAAGAGGAAATGAAACAAGGTTCTTACTCTTTAACTTGAGTAACGACACCCTTAGTTAAAGAAGAGTAATCAGGGTCCCCTGTCCTGCTCCTCATCGCGTAACCAAATCTTACGGTAAACAATAGTTAGTCATGTTCTAATTCTATAGATGTGGATTCTGGTGAGGAGGTGAGGCATATTTCTTAGACACGTGACAACAAAATATGCCTCACCTTCCACCAGAACCCCCATTTATAAAAACAATCGAATTAATTTTGAGTGAACAATATCGATAGGGACTATCAAACGAATATCACGAAACTTAAAATTGGAGGTTATAGTTGTTATGCACCGACTTTAACCTTGTATCAAAGTTTTAAAATGTGTACAAATAATCACTGGTTAAATGTCTACCTCATTGCCTCGATTATATAGTTCCAAGCTTTAAGAGCCCCATAGGATGATAGATCGAAGTTATCGAGTACTTGTAACGCTAAAGCTATTACGTGACCTGGGGTGAAGGTAAATTAAGTTGTTGAATATCATAAAAATTTGCCGTGTATTTTCTGAAAGAGTATGTGTGATTTTTGCAATGAATAAGAACAGTTGTGGGATTGTTATAACTTTCGATTTTCGCAACACTTGGTGCAGCTAACCTGATGCAGGTGGAGGTGCGGATATGATAGTCTGACCTCGGTACTCAAACTTAAACGGCTCATCAATAGTAACATTGTAACCTTCTAGATCTTCTAACGTCATTATTCCACCTTCTGCTTTCTGAAATATGAAAAGTAAAAGCTGTGGGAAAAAAACGTTTGGGCTCGAAGCGACCCAGTGCTCATGTGACTCGACTAGTTTCGGCTTTTAATGGACATCCACAACAGAGTATCACAACAATAAATAGATAAATTTAAAATGAGCCTGTAGGTATACAATAGAGATTAAGTAGGCAGTGATAGCTCGAACACGTGTAAATAATAATAGTTAAGAATGAAACTAACAGTAGCTTTCACTATGTTCTCTGCTATTTCCCCCTTGTAAAACCCATCAGGCCCCTCGTCAGCTATCTTCTCATATGCGTCTGCTAGCTTCGGATTAGTGTAGGTTTCACCAACCTGAAGGTAGAAACTTTGAAACAATACACCAAAACTGTTGATTTTAGAACTGCGGATAATCTGAACGTGATGAGATAAAAGCTAAAGTTTTTCATCAGGAAATTCTCAGTGTGTTTGAAAGCTCCTCTTACCGTTTTGTAGGATGCACTATCTTCTCCATTGAAGAAAATAGACTTGAAATGTTCGTTCTTTATCAAAATATCCTTTACAATTTTCAATGCTTTTTCTGAAAATATTTTCACCTATAGAGTAAAATTTAGAAGTAACGGGTAATAGTTCATATCCCAAGACATAACAAGTTTACTAAAATAAGTATACGGTAAAAATCGTACAAAAATCGACAAACCCATATGATGGGAGACTTCTATTCCTGATCTGAGAATCTGTATGGAAGGAGTAAACAAGTCTTTCCAGGGCAGTTTACCGTACATCTGATGAGCGGTCCAGTAACCCCGTACCTCACCTGGTACAGCACTGGCTAAACCTCCCTGAAAATATAGTTGTACAAATACAATATAGTTAACACATCTTAGCTGTGTGTATAACGGATACAGAGTTACAAAAGCTACCAAATCTACTGTCCAGGTAAGTTTAACCATGATTGTTTGTTTCGTCTTTAACCAACAGATGTCATAGGGAAGCATGATATTTTCGTTAGGGGTAGTTCACATAATATTACGTTATCATTTGTTGGAACATTTTTACCCCCCCCCCCCCCCTCCGTAATCAGTTTTACGCTATAGTGTCAAAATTACACTAGCGTAATCATTCGGAACCCCCCCTCAGCTGATTACATAATATGTGAACGACCCCTTACATAGGTTACCGGAACCGATCAGGTGGTGCCAAGACGCTTGAAAATACAATTTATTTCTCGACTTACAAGATTTACAAAATAGAATCTATATTACAATAAAAAGAAAGTAATAAATTCAAAGTTAAGAACAACTAGAATAAGTACTAGAATAAGTGTTTTTGACACCACTTGTTGATTGAAATTGTCTGGCGGACGAATTTGATCAAAACAAATCGATTTTAGTCTGTAGAAATATTGTTTAAATAAATACATTATCCTGAATTATAATTAACTGAATGGTACTTACGTTTTTAGCAAGTTCCGCATTTTCCACGTACATTTCTTTGGTGGACGCAGCTGGAGCTCTTTCGCGGAAATTTATAACTTTATCTTCAGTCTTAGTATGAATCAGCATGAAACCACCCCTGAAATTATGTGAAACATTTCAGTGGTAGGCTTTGAAGTCAGGTTAGAGATCGATACTAGTTGGTGTTTATTCTGTATGAATCTTAGGCCATAACGTTATGAGGCTATAAAATCAACCGTATCAAGTTTTCAGTGGGATCTAACATGGATTGCTATTTAATAAAGTGCCACCCACCCGCCAATTCCATTAGATTGGGGCTGGACAGCACCCAAACATAATAATATAGCAATAGTAGCATCAACCCCACTTCCTCCTTGTCTCAGAGTTTCAGCTCCGATCTTCGTACAGACATCGTTATCTGAAGCCACTGCCAGGCAGTCTTTGCAGAAATCTCCTGTATCTGTAATAAAATGATATGATTTGTTGAGTGCGTACCAAGTAAGGTTTGACCGGCGATAACTTCAACTAAGAATAATATTTTTCATGGGACTAAAAGCAGCTGATAGATCTTACTACCCTCTATAAGAAATACCTCCTTCCCCCCTTATAACTGTAAGAGTTATAACTGTAAGAGTTATAACTGTAAGAGTTATAACTGTAAGAGTTATAACTGTAAGAGTTATAACTGTAAGAGTTATAACTGTAAGAGTTATAACTGTAAGAGTTATAACTGTAAGAGTTATAACTGTAAGAGTTATAACTGTAAGAGTTATAACTGTAAGAGTTATAACTGTAAGAGTTATAACTGTGAGAAAATACTACAATATAATCAAGGTACGATGTTGGATACCTGAGTTCTATATCTTTCGATAGCAACTCCATCTATGTATCTGCTTAGCTTCCATCACTGATCCTGGTACTTGAGATTCCAGGTGTGGCTTTAAACAATGTTTTAAGGGCCCAACACTCAGCTCACTCAGTTGATGGTAGAACAGTGGGTCTTTGTGCGATGTTGTAGCAGGGACTCCACTTCTTGTTTTCTCTTGCTAACCAGATTGCATAGGAACATCTGAGAGCAACCAAAGCCGCCTCTTGGAACACTGCTTTCTTTACTCTCTTTGTAACACCAAAGTAGTTTAGTAGGGCTGGTAAGGTATGATGCCAGAAGCCTCTACACCCAACCTCTACCGTAAAAAGCTGAGCTTTCCACCCACTGCCATGCAGCCCAGGAATAAGCTCTCTGTTGTAACGTGCTTGTTTACGTTCTACTTGGTCACTAAAGTTACTCTCGTCACCAACTGTCAACTCTACTAATATGACCACCTTTCCTTTATCAGACCAGACTACAATATCGGGACGTTCTGCAGTTCCGTAGATGTGCTGGGGGAACTGTGCTGGGAGGTCATCTTCGTCCCAGATAATCTGCCAATCTTGGTCTTTCTCAAAAGGGCTCTCTCTTTTCATCTTCGTCTTCGGTTTTTGGTAACAGCTGCTAGATGACTTGAAGCCTGTCCAGTCCTGAACTTCAAGTTTAAAATCTTTGTTGTTGAACTTCTCGATTTGATCCAGTAGGGATTTCGCAATGACCCGCAGCACGTTGTCATGCCTCCAATTGTATCGTTTGTTGTTCAGCGAGAAGTTGCAAGCTACCAAAATGTGCTTAATGTTGCAGTGTCTCCATCCGCAAAGTGGACAGTGTCCTGTGTCAGCATAGTTCCACAGGCTCATGTTTGCTGGAGTATTTGCAACGTCATGGGTTGCATTGAGGTGGAACTTAAGAAGAGCAGGGCTCATCTTGTAGTTGTAAATAAGGTTGTTCCAACCTAGGTCTAGCTGCATGGTGTTTTCCCATGTTAAGAATTGTCCTTGAACTCCCTTGTCTACCAGTGTCAACAGGATATCCTGCTCTGAGATGTGGGATACCAGTTCTTTCAGTTTTTCCTTTTCACTGGCTACACTCCTCTTGGATCCCAAGCCCATCCTGCCTTGCACTGTTACCCCTACTAACTCTCTGAAGTAGAGATCTCTTTCTCTAGCACTCAGCTCATTAGTGTAACCCCACCGACTGCTCCCTTCTTGTTTCTTGGCCCTGTGCTCGTAGACCTCCTTAACTTTAGGATCCTTGCTGTTCTTTAGAGAGTAACCTTTGGACACCTGAAGGAACTTGTATAAGTCCGATAGTCTTTTAAGATTCAATCCAAAGCAATCCTTATTTCTGTAAAGCACACTGACAGTAATTGTCTTTGTTACACCTAGCCATTTCTTCAGATACTTCGTACATATTGCTTCAAGATCTTTGACAAAACTAACCGGGAGATTGTAGATCATCAGGTCCCAGGAGAGCTTGCTGGTTAGGAGGTTGTTGTAAATCCAGCATTTTATCACTCCATTAAGGCCTGATCCGTCCACTGCCTGAAACAGTGTAATCAGTTTGTCTTCTATCAGCTTCTTGGTATCTTTGAGGCCCAGATCCACATATATCCAATGGCCAAGAAACTTCATCGGTGTATTTCCAATAAACTGGATTTTAGCTCCATCTATGAAAATTTCAGGGTCATAGGACACATACCTTCCATCTATAACCTTCATCCCCAGGGATACGCATTTACTCGGCTTGGCTTTCATTTTCCTTGACCAAGTAAGAAATCTTTCCATCACATCTATTAGCTTCTTCATCTTTTCCAGCCTGGGAGACATCAGAGTTAGGTCGTCAGCAAAAGCACGACTCGACGTGCTGCTAGAACTAAAAGACGGCTTGTAACCCAAGTCGCTTTGATTTTTCAGGAGATCCAATAGTAGGCTGAAAACTATTAAGAACAGTACAACCGATAGAGGGTCGCCCTGAAAAAGACCTAACATATAAAAGAACCAGTTTGTTTTCCAGTCCTTTGTCACCACTCTCACAATCAGCTCATCATAGTACTTAAACATATATTCTATGAGCCAGTTTGGGAACTTATAATGTCTTAGAGCATATATTATCAAGTTGTGGGGAACCCGGCCGTAGGCGTTCATTAGGTCCACCCAAACTGCAAAGATCTGTCGTCTATTAGATTTGGCATCCTTCAACTCTTCCATCAGAGCCTGAGTATGCTCGAGGCAACCTGGTGTCTTACGCAGGAATCCTTTCTGGATAGACGTGTCTATGTAGCTATTACTGACCATATACTCTAGCATTCTGTCCGCTAGTAATCCCATCTGCAACTTCCCACTAGTGTTATAGAGTTATAACTGTAAGAGTTATAACTGTAAGAGTTATAACTGTAAGAGTTATAGCTGTAAGAGTTATAACTGTAAGAGTTATAACTGTGAGAGTTATAACTGTAAGAGTTATAACTGTAAGAGTTATAACTTTATAACTGTAAGAGTTTACACGACTTGTTGGATCATCTAAATTGAGTTATAAAGTGATGACACCGTTTTTTCCTTAACCATTATAATACCAACAAAATGTAATAATATTAATGACATCATTACGGCTATTAACTCTAGAATTAGCCTGCTCGTTTTACATAATTTTATCTTAACATGACTCAGATTATACTGTAATTTATTCGCCATTGTCCCAGTTTACTGAACGTGCCGGTTACGTAAATCAGACAAACAAATCGTGTGTATTGTTGATGAGTATTTTTTGCAGCATTAATTGAGCGGGTAAAGATGCACCCACGATTATCTTATGACTTTATTATATTATTATTACCGTATAAGATGATTCATGACTAGTGCTAATTTTTTTCCTTGATGTTTAAGAAGACAAAAGTCAAAATTGGTTACGAAGCCAAAACCGATTATGATAGGGCTTTTAGAGATGGCGGCTATAGTCACACCATCGTCTACAGACAACAGAGCACCAGCGAGCCTTAAGAAATTAAAAAGAGAAAGATATCGTGGAAAAGGAAGGTCTTATAAATATAATCCTCCATTCAGTGCAAACGTTTCAAATAACATCGGAAGCAAGTTTTCCGTTCTCATTCACAGGGAAATATTAGACTTATTATATGTTGTTCTTAAGTGTTAACTATCCATGGTTTAGAATTTTTATTTGGTAATAATACTAATTTATATAATATATGATTTATATCAAAGACCGACCTTTCTTGTTGGCTTGTGTGACGACTACTACGATAATCACAATTACTGCTAGCGTGAAGACAGTGACCGAGCCTATTATTAAAACCTTCCGGTTACTCTTCTTCTGTTTTGGTTCACTCTGAAAAATAGGGGAGGTAATTAGAGGTAATTAGAATATAGGGGAGGAAATGAGACGAGTCCCTAAAATTATACGAAGAAGAAAAAACAGATATCAATACTCCACCCTGCCAACTGTCACAGACGTTTTCTCCAAAATAACTAACAAGAACAAAAGAATTGTGAACAGTAAGCAACTTACCGAGACAGAGTATTGAACAGAGAGTTGGTTTCCATTCTCCTCGGTCTGAAAAGTGAGATTTTAGACATTAAGTTTGGAGTCTTGGGGCACAAAAACTTTCATTATATATAATTTTACAAAATAAATGAGTCCAAATGGGATTCACTGGCAGTTACCCACTCACAGTCACTGGCATAACGAATCATTTGCACACTTTTTATAAAAAAGGAAAAAAGTTAAATCTAACAACTAACTGCGGTGGAGGTCCCCATATTTCAACGTGTCAAATTCAATGAAACGTAAAATAAAAATAAAAACTAGCAACAAAACTCAGATTTAAAACCCAATCTGGCACTATGGGGTACGTGGCCCTGCCGTGGTCTATGAATTAATCAGATCTACTCGTGAGCTAGTGGGTTAGTGGGGCTTGGGGCCTTCACACCAAATCAACACAACTCATTATTTAATTCCCGTGCCGGTCCGTTGGTCGTCTTGCGAAGAGTATGAAATAATTATCCGGTCATTGTCGAGAGTTGGGTAATGCGGAAATTAATATGAACATGTGCGGCCAAATTGGGGGAGGGTCCATTGTTCAGTCCTGTGGTAATCTTTATATCAGGAAGGGATGTGTCATGGTATTGTAACAGTTTTTTTTGTGTGTTCCGCAGGACGCCACAGAATCGTTATTGGACCTGAATTTTGTGTGGACTTTGAGAGTTTTTACAGTTATTTTGATAATTTTAGATTCAATTCCGGGTAGATTCTGAGGAGAGTGATTATAAGTTATTCTTACTGGTATCATTTTAAAGGCGTAAACGCAGACTAAGTTCTGTTGTGTAATTTGTCTGATGAATCTTCTTGCGTGAAACATCGCCAGCAGAATCCTTACTTCCCAGCTTCACAGTCCACCGATAATCAAGTTGAATTCTACTTTGAAAATTATCTTTCTGTAAATTTAAAACTAGTATGACCACATATTTTTCATCTTTCTATAATCTTATTTTTAGTTTGTAATAAGAAGGTAGGAGGTTGCCTCTTCATTAAAATTGTAATTGTTAAATATAAGAAGAAACAAATTGCCCACCTCTGAGTCTGAATTTATAAGTGGCTCAAAGTCTAACATCTCAGGCTTGTATTCCAGGTATGACATCTCCAATCTAGAGTTCTCTTCACACCCAAATAGAGGGAGTGATCTTCAGTCACACAGACCATGGCATGTGACGGCTATGAAATAGAAAACTGATGTAATGTAAGTAAAGCAAATTTGGTGCTTCGGTTAGGATAAATATCACAGAATAATGCAGGTTTATTAATAAATATCAGAATTCATTTAATTTTAGTTTCTATATCACTTGATTGAGAAAGTTATTGAATTCAACTGTCTCAACTTTGAGACAAATTATACAAATGACAACTGTTTTGCAGTGTTTTACTCTCTTATGTATTTGGTAACGGTTCGTAGGTCCTGAAACTCGAAGCGTAAAGAAGATCGACAATTGAAACTATCAAATCATGCGTGTATTACAGTATTATATTACACGATGACAGAAATAGCTGTATTAATCCTCAAAAACTCATAGAGACAGTTTACGATACGTTGCATCGTGATTATCCTATGAGGAATTAGTGCTTTTGTAAACACTAAACATGACTGTAAAATGTAAATTCTAAAGAATAGCTAGGTGTAAACTGTAAAGTGTATAAAGTTATGTATAAAGTTATGTACAAAGATGCTCAAGGAGTGGACAGGGATGTGAATCTGACTTATGTTATAGTGTTATATAATTTGAACGTTCCCTAAAACAAAACCTCCATTTAAACGCTGCTATAGATTTATTAACTTTATTAAAAAAATGTAAATGTTGATTCTGATATTCTGAAAATTATACCGTAGCAAAATTAATCTTAAAAATCGGATCTTAAAAATTGGACCTTAAAAATATCAACCTAAAAAATTAGAAATACAAACAAACCTTTAAAAAATATAGATCTAAAAAATTATAAACAAAAAATAAACAAACTTTTGTCTGGATTTAACTGTAAAAGTGTCTTGCACTGATATTATACAAATATTTCGACTGTTCAATGAGTTGACTTTCTAAGTTTCCATCTTTAGTTGACAGTCGGGCTTAGGGTTGATTGATCAGAGTGTCAACTTTAAGTTGACACTTTAAAGTTTCTGAATAGATTTGTTTTTGAGATGATTTAGTTGTTTGTCTCACCCTTTAGAACCGCTCTGACATGGTGTATAGTACCTGACACCTGTGTCAGTTGCTAACCATATGGGCGGTATACAAGCACATTATTTCATTTCAAGTGGTGATGGGAGAACAATTCCTGTTCCGTTTTTCCTAGGATCACCTGTAAAACAAGATGTTATCTTAATAATTCTGTTAAATTAAGTTAAATTAAGTTAAATTAATTTAGTCAAACAACATAGAAAGAGCTGGGGGGGGGGGGGGGGGGCAACCATATTAAAGTATATTAAAATGTAGGATTTTCCCCGATTTTGACCCGGGGATATACTTTCAATATACTTTAATATACCTACAATATACTTTAATATATCCCTATCCTTGGAGGCCTACATCGAAAATTGTTACCCAAAATAAGCTTGAAATGCAATTCTTAATCGATTCCAAAAAGTTCTTGAAAAAATATTGAAAATTGATGGAGTTATTTCAATTTTAATGAAGTCATTTTGGCTAGTATTCCGAACAGAGATATTATGTGCAATTTTCCCAATTTTGTTCATGGAGGTCTTTTTACTTAGTATCCACTATATTCAACAAACACTGAGTTATATCTTTCACATAGAGTTAGTCTCATTAAAAAATATTGAAATTTTATCGAATTTGGGCAAAAGCGAATTTGGGCAAAAGCGTATGCCCAAATATGGGCATATTTTTTAAAGCTCATAGCTCAGCCAATTTTTGACCAATCTGGATGGAAATTCATGTACTAGTCCTAAAACAGGCTTATCTTGCGAATCTGAGTGAAAAATATAGTTCATCATGTAAATCTTAACGAAGAATATAAATCTTCTAATTTTCTGAAGAGCTTTCTGAACTCAACAAGACTAAGCAGCTCGATAAAAGAATATAAGATGAATATTAACACTAAAAATCTCCAAAAGATACCACAATTGTAACATACCAGCTGCAGATGTATCCCCGTTCAATCTGGATACGCTAGTAACATCTCCCAACTTTATTTTCCCTGCACTCGAGGTCATGTTGTAACCCAAACTCTTCAACCCTGACACTAGCGCCTGGTCTACTGGCCGTATTCCTGAGGTACCACCGGTTAGGCAGAAACACTGGTTCTAGTCAGTTGTCACAAATAACTGTCCTGATGTTACAGTATGCTGGTAGATCACAAATGTTTCTTTATGTATTTATGGACACTGGGCCTTATTTGTGTCTCAAACAGTTTAAAAGTCGTTGAAATGTGTGCAGTACAATGTACCTGATTTGTGAGAGGAGACAAAATTGTGCCATGTTTTCATGTTTTGTAAAAAATATAAAATGTTACGCACAAAAACCCTTACAAAAACTACTGCTCACAAGGAGTAACGACATCTTATCTAATTTATAAATCATTAAATCCATGAATGAATTATGCTTTTTGAACAAAATAAACCATCTTATCACATCTTGAAGTGACACAATACACACACTTACCTGTTAAAACCTCGTAGTAAGTGAACCCGTTCAGCTGATCGTGAATTCTCGGTTCCCGGAGACTCGTTGCCAGCGGCATATTCCAGTCCAGAGCATTTATTATTGACAGCAATGCACCTGAAATATGGATTTTTTAAAAATCTCAACACTTATTTTACTTCGGACATTCCAACAGCCACATTGTTACACAAGTGTGTAACCAACCAATTACAGGAAGCCGAAGGATTCAATTATACATAAGGCCAAAATCTATTTATACTGTGGTCTTCCTTTAAATAATTAAGTAGGTTATCAATGAAAATCGCTTCAATTAGTTGGGTAAATTAAGTTGATCCCACAATTAGCGCATGAGTGCGCGGCTCATACATGCAGCGCGCGCGCCACAGTGGAAAATGTTGGGATTTTAATTTCGCAGAAAACGATTAAAAAATAATCGTACGATTATCGACGATAATCGTCGCGCGCGCGTTACACGCACGATAATCGTCTAATCTGACGATAATCGTCATATTTGGCGAATAACGCTATTTCACGACGTTTATTAGGCGATAATGAGCGATATCACGATAATCACACAATAAATCATGGAAATAAAATGTATTTGTTATTTCATGTAACGATTACCTGAGGACCCCAGGCTATTATGTTCATTATAGATTTGGCGGAATGACAGGCTGAGCGCGGCCCAGTAAATGTAACGAAGGAAGTATTTCGGTTATGCTTCAATATGGAAATCAGAAATCGGATTCATATTTACAGTCTACTGGTAGTGGTAATGTACCGCAAGCTTCGTAATCGTAGTGAACGCAAAACGAATGAAATTGAAAATGTCATGTTTCACAATGAAATTTGATACTATAATTTATTGTTATTGATCAGATTAGTTGCATATATGATATAAGACAGCAGTAGTGAATATGAAATATTTATCATCTATCTAAGTTTGGCACGCAGCGCGCGGGCCGGTATCTTTTAAATAATGTATAATATGTAACGTAGTTTCCTAGTGTAATGTTTAACCCGAGAAGTAATTGCCACAGTGAAACATTAGATTTTATAAAATTAGATTATTTATTTTAACTATTGTGTTAAGTGAAAAATTTTTAGCGATCATTGAAAATATTTGTCAAATTAAATTTCAAATGTCTAAGCGGCGCGCCAGAGCGTTATTCTGAGCCGCGCACCAAAACAGATTTTAATGGACTTAGAATTCATAATACGAATCGAGCGTCTGTAATGTCGTTCGAGACAGATACGCTCTCCTTGGTAACGAGCCAAGTCTATTGTTTACATTTTGTACGTGATAAATCTGATCGGGCCTTGTGATAGGAATTTTGTAGTCTGCAGTCAGAACTTTAATGACGATTATTTTGATACATGAAATTGTGTAATTTGCAATCATAACTGTTTTGACTTTTGAACCATGCAAATAAATTACTCTTTGTAATCAGTAAAAGTAATAACACATTCACAATAGAACTAAAATGGATAATTCGAGACTGGTAATGTTCGCCGGGCTTACAGAGACGAATCAGCTGAAGCCCCTGGGCTCAAATGAGCTCAGGGGGAAATGCTGGCAGTGAGTTATCTTACCTCAATTATGAATATTCAAACATATCATCAACAAATTTCATTTTGAACAACACTTTAATAAAAAGATTTTATCCGTTGAGAAACTAATAATCACTAATTCAATCCGATTTTATTGAATCATAATTTCAGACACTTTCGAGCACGGTACCCCGGGCTGAAGGAGACAGCGATCAGGCAGGCCATCGCCAAGTTCTGCTATATCGAGGGTAAGAAATTACATAATGAGTTTGGCTCTAACACACTTGATTAATTTTGTAGATCAAATTAATGTATGGTAATCTACCAAGTCAATACGTTATATTTGAGCTTGATTCGGTGACTTGAGAAACTGCCCATAAGACAAAATATTGCAGAGAGTGCTGTTACCCCAGCACAATGCCGGGAGGTGCGGCTGCGGATGAAAAAATACGCAGCCGACGAGAAACACCGGCTGAAGAGAAGAAAGCTGGATCAGGAGCCGCAGCAGAGCACCAGCTCAGGGACCCAAACGGATCCCATACACGCTCTGTCTTGTAAGGTGAGGTCTCGTTTCTCAATTACCACCACATATTTGATATTATACTTATTCTAACTGCCACGTATTTTCCTCATAATTGTGATGAATACATCCACCAACTTCTAATTAGGATTGCGAGACCGCCTCAATGAGGCACCAAGTAGAGTTGCATCAGGCTAAGCTGGCGGAAATGAGGACCGAGCTGCTGCCCGACAATTGACCCCCCGACAATTGACCCCCGACAATTTACCCCCCGACAATTGACCCACGGCTGACCTTGACCCTGACCCAGGACCCAGGACCCAAGACCCAGGACCCAGGACCCAGGACCCTGACCCTGACCCTGACCCTGACCCTGACCCTGACCCTGACCCTGACCCTGACCCAGGACCCTAACCGTAACCCTAACCCTAACCCTAACCCTGACCCAGGACCCTAACCCTAACCCTAACCCTAACCCTAACCCTAACCCTGACCCAGGACCCGATCAATTGACCCCAGTGTAATTACATGGGGGTCAATTGTCGGGGGGTCAATTGTCGTACTAAACCCTAGATTTCGCGACAATTGACCCCAGTGTAATTACATAGGGGTCAATTGTCGGGGGGTCAATTGTCGGGGGTCAATTGTCGGGGGGTTAATTGTCGCGGTACCTCGGATAGCTCTGCTTATTAGCATGCCCACTCCTGACTCTTGGCGAACTTGCCCCTTCATAATGGTTGTAACGTGTGTACACAGTATAGTACACAGTACAATCTGATTAGGTACAGTGCGCTTTTCCTAATAAACAATGCCCTTTTTCCCAACAATTTTTCTGCCAAAATTCCTCGGCCTCGGCCTCGGCCTCGGTCAAAATTTGCACTCCTCGGCCTCGGCCTCGGCCTCGGTCAAAAAAAGAAACCTCGGTTGTCCTCGGCCTCGGTCTTAACTGACTGTATTTTCCTCGGCCTCGGCCTCGGTCGAAAATCCTGCCCTCGGTCGACCCCTGTGCGAGCGATTGTTTTGGACCCGAGTCCATTATTGAGAGCCGGGTGAGACAGGCGGCCCAGAAAAGGGCTAGAGATTCAGCCAAGAAAACTTTCAGTTTCAAAGATTTTAGATAGATTTATTGTGTTCTCTGAGAAGATTTATCATCATTTTGCAATTAAACTTTCAACTAAACTTTTCACTGAACTTTTAACTATGAATCGATGTATAATGTATATGGTCATTGTAAAGTTTGCTTTGCCCAAATTTGACTGCCAAAATTGGTACAATTTGACCGGTTGAGCTATTTAGTGAGCTAGCATTGTTAATATTTCACCCATTTGGAATTTTATGATTTGGCAGTGAAAATATTTTGCAATTAACGTCCAGGATCTATTTGTTAAATGGCGATCAAAATAGTCAAAAAGCATAGATTTTATTGGGGAGCTCCACACTTTTTTGCTCCACATCGAAAAGCAGGTCATAACTTTTGCTCCACATGAGATAGAAACTTCATTCCAAAGAATTCAGAAAATTCGGAATCTTCAGATGAAAATGATATCAGAAAGGATTAAATTGCTCTTTATCAACCTGCTCAAAAATTTAAATCAAAAAGTTAGCAAAATGGGCAAAGCAAACTTTACAATGACCATAATGTATCTAATGTGTAATGTATTTAATGTATAGTGTAATGTAAAAAGTGACAGATAAATACCCAGAACTTGCAGGCAGTTTTCACGCTCATTGATAATCAGAACTGAATTGTACAACATATTAAAATATAATTTCCCTGAACTGCAATGTATTTATCTGTCAAAGCCCCAAACGGTCTATCAGCCTCCACGCGGCTTGGGGTGGGTGGTGTATTGATGTATTTCTGTAATTATCGTACACTAGCGAATGATTCCAAAAAAAGTATTTTCATTTGTCTTCGGAAGTTACTTAACTCTTGTTGCATGAAACTTAGAGGCACAGTAATCAAATTCAAGTAAAATTCATATTTTAGATCGTATCATGAAACAGTGCCCTTGCGTTGTCTGCAATGGTGAGAAAAGAACTGAACGTACCATAAAGGAGCATCTGGTCGAGTATGGACATTCAAAGAAAACTTTGCTGACAGATTTTCTCGAGCATTCGACACCAGATGACAAATTGTTCCACTATGCATTGAGGTAATTTAGCATTAGTAAATCGTCACAGAGATAAGTCAAACAAAGTTTAAAATAAACTCCATGGCAGTAAGTTGAGCAGATAATTCATCCATTTAACACAACAGGAAAATGCTGGAGAAGAGTTTCTCACAAGGAACAATCGTCGAAGTGAAAGGTTTACCGGGTAAACCCCTAGTGATTACTTCGATAATCAAGCCTCAGAAAAATATAGCTACACCTGCAGACAGCACGAAGAGGAAACACGCTAAAGTGTTCAAGGATATCGTAGAGAGCCAGGTATCTATCCTAAATAGTGTTATCAGGTTATTTTTAATCTGTAATAATGTGCAGACCAGATTGCTTATTGATCAACCAGAAATGGTGATGGTGGTGAAATAAATAATGGATGCACTGTTTGCAGGCTGAATCAAGTTGTTCGAAATGTCCCGAACATGAGATCGATATGGTAACGAAACGAATTAGAACAGCTCAGATAAATTCGTTATCAAAAGAAGAACGTCAATACATCAGTGCCTCTACTGGAGTAAAGAGTATAGAACCAATTGACGCTCTTCATGTTGCCATGTTCAAAGCAGAGTGTGAGTGCCTGAGTTTAAATTCTAACTGTTGATATAAAACATAGATATGAATACCGAACTAACATATCATGAGTAAGGCAGATTCTCATATTGACAAACTTTCCAGCGAACACGGGGACATCTAATGTTCGTAACAATCTGCGACCTATGCTGAAGAAATTTGATATCAAATTAGAATCAGAGAAAGAGATAAAAGCAGTTGAAGAGTCTTATACTGTAAGTTCTGATCTTAGTCACATACACTACTTGCTGATATCGCGATAAATTTAGCACTTAAATCTAATACAGTCTGTCATCACTAAAAGTCAGTTAAATTCTCAATTCACATTGAACATCCTAAGGTGAGTTACATGAGTGCAATGGTGTCTCTGTCGCACAAAGCGGCGGCTCATGACAAGAACGAGACCAAAAGCGGCGATATTCTGGCACGGAGAACACCAGTGGCCTACTGCGATGGCCAAGAATTGCTGACAAAAACACTTGTAACGTTGAAGAATACAGGTGATTAAGTTTTCTCTATTTCTGTTCGTCATAGTAGCAACATTAGGATAGAGGCTGTCTTGTTTATGAATTAAGTTTTTATCAGCTGACCAAAATCGGCAATTAATGTTGCAGGACAGTTACAAATCGGGAGCGATAAAAAGATTTACACGAAAATTTTTATCGATGCAGACATAAAGTCGACAAAAGTTGCTATCAATGTCCTAAATCAACCTAATTGCAACAGCTCCTATGCCCACGCTATGTTTGTGTACACAGAGGCTCCTGACCATCAGCGAAACATGGACGTGATTTTCAAGGTATATTTCTTTATAAAATGTAAAATTTGATCTTCCTTTCGTGAAATTATAACCCCAACGTCATATAAGTATAGACCTGATGACACACAAATGTAAGGTTGACACCACAGGTGGTAAATCGGGAGTTAATACAGCTAAAAACCCTGTCATTCTGTGGAGCTGATGTTAAGCTGATGTTGTGTGCAGACACCAAAGCACTGTGGGCTGTGTTAGGAATGGGCAGCAACGGGACTTATCCATGCCCAATGTGTGAGATACACAAAGACCACATGAAAGTAATTCTCCAGCATCGTTTTCTTAACAACCTTTCAATTTAACTAGATCCACATGCTCGAGGATCACTTTGTCGACCAGATCATACTGTGGGGGATGTTATCGGGCTCATTTAACGAGCAAGGAGGAGAGAGCTGTCATTCCCTTTTCAAGCGACATGAACACCTGACTAGTACGAAAATCAGCTAATTTAAGACAGTTTGATCAACTCATTTGGAGACAGAAGTTTAATTCAACTCGTTATTAGCATTAATCACGTTTAAAGTGTACAAATAATCTCTTTCCCCCTTTCAATTTTCATGCTAGACAGTCACTATACAGTAGAATCTTAACAGCGACAATTTTCAGATCACATTCGCAACGAAGAGGAAAGAGTGACTAAGAAATGTGAAATAGCCACCAGGAAATATCTCCTTAAACTTAAATCACGGCAAAAGTCATGAGCGGACACTATTATGATATTTGAAACACATCTTTCGGAAAACGCTGCCTATTCATTATTCTACTAAAAAGTTTTTGTAAGCAGCGACTGCAACAAGATTCGCGCACGCGCGTTTTTATCGCCGCGCGAAGCTTTTAAAATTTTGATTACGTGTCAAGAGTGTGCGATTAACACAATGCTAGACCTGTACGAAACCGTATTGAAGCTCTTAAAACCGATTAACGTGCAGTTGTCAAGCATAATTACGAGTTTTCCGGTCAAAAATGGATTCAAAACGACTGAATAGTGAAAATAGTTTCAATGAAACTCGTTTATTCAGCAAACATGGAGAATAACGCTCCTTACAGCTCGATGCATTGTTTTAAGTGACTTCCAGGTATTTGAAACTGAGATGCAAGCAAGTCAGCTTAATTCTGACCCATTGATGAGGCATCAAATACTAAATAATGGTAAAGAGACCGGTTCCTCCCAAAACCTAGTTTTAGAACCTACTTAGATGACAGACTTGGGTGAACCATGTAGCTGTTAAGATATATTAACTTATTTGATATGTGCACGCATTCTACATGAGTTCCTGATCATACTCAAATCACAACCACCATGCAAATAATATATTAATAAGCATGCATATAGCATACTAGGAGTTTTATCCTCGATGGGCAAGCAATAATTGGACGTTTCTCGTCATTCTGACATTTATCGTACGATAGAGAGGCGAGAAACGATTATCGTGCGAATATCGACGTTAATCGTCGGGATGTATAATAATTGCGCGCAGCAGACGATTATCGTCGATTATCGTCAAACTGCACGATTAACGTACGATTATTGTGCGCGACTAAAATCTGCGAAATGGCCCATATTTTCCACTGTGGCGCACGAAGGTATAAGTTTGTACGTATAACGATTTCAAAGTTTCTACTTATAAATTTCATTCGGTAAAAGCGCGTTCCATACAAACACTATCTCTGCATGTGCTGCAGAACACAACAACCAACTACATATCATAAATTCTTGATGAACAGAGAATTTAAAACAAATCTTACCTGAAATTATCCTTGAACCACCAGCAGCCCCCGTCACAAAGTTAGCTTCCTGAAATGTACAAGTGATGAGCTGGACCTCACAGAAGTACGAATCCACGATGCGATACATACACGGTCCCCGTCATTAATATTGTGCAGTTTACAAAAAAGCTTCCTATTCTATGTATATATATAGTTTCGTCAGATCTCCATAGTATAGCTGTAAGGAATATGTTCGTTACATTACACAGAAATGTAATGTTTCTTTTAAAAGAATTCATGAAATAAATCAGTTTCTAGGTATGGATTAAAAATTCTCAGTTTATGTTCAATCAACTTCCTATATTGGACGTGACAAGAGATTTCTCAGAAATAGGAAATCTCGATGGCCTACAGCCTACTACTAAAATCATACCAATAGCTCAAATCTAAATTCCTACATGTTGACTTAATAGGTCTTGGGACACTTGCCATAACGACGTTATGGCAAGTGTCCCAAGACCTATTAAGTCTTAAGACCTATGATAACGTAGGCCGGAACAATAAACACAGGGTTTACACATTATCTAAATATGAACATACTAATTATCACAGTAAATATATTATATAAAATATAGCTGGACTTGAGAGTTCTATCATTTTACACACTAATAATGTATAAAAGACGTGTGTTTTCTGTAAATTCCCCAGCTCCCGAAACCACAACCAACTATTAATCAGATAGAAATTTATCAAATAGAGTAAGTTTATGATGTAACCTATATTGATGTAACCTATATTGATGTAACCTATATTGATGTAACCTATATTGATGTAACCTATATTGATGTAACCTATATTGATGTAACCTATATTGATGTAACCTATATTGATGTAACCTATATTGATAATAAGTAATAAAAATAACTAAATATAGGACCTACTTACCCCGTTACTGCCGAATGTAATAGTAGGACAGGAAGAGGACATGGGTCTTTTACCGGGCTCAATATAGTTCTCCTGTAACAGTTAACATGTCACACGTGACACTTTAATATGTCACACGTGACACTTTACATTGAATACTGCATAATAGTAGGACTTTGTTTACCATTATATTAACAGCATGTAACAGCAATTTTTGATTTAAACCCATCTAGAAAGAATATTCGCCAGAACCAAACAAAACTACCGAGGAATTCAAGTTCGATCAGATTTTTCAAGACTTAGGAGTCTGCCGAATCACTGAGGTTTTTCTTCTCGAGGGTGAAATGAAGGGCTCAGTATAGTGATTAAGTAAAACTAATTGATCATAAACCGTTTTGTGAGCGTTGTTTTCTTGAATAGTGGATCAAATCAGATTTCAGAATTAATGAAGTTTTCAAAGAAATTTCCATGCTAGACTAACCGGAGAGGGGTCAAACCCAAAGTTGTTTTTAAAGCCTGGGGTTGAGAAATCGTCCATCTCATCGTTCAAAACAATACCGTCCTCAGTCATAACACATGATCCAAACAGAAGATTAACAGTTCTGTGAAAAGAATACTGATCACGGTTAAAAATGACCAATTTTACAGTATATATATTGCATGTAGGACGATTTACTCCGCAAACTGCATCACAATGAAAATTTTCACATCGAAAATTTATCCCAATCGGTAAAATGTAAAAGCTGACACAAATTCTTATAGCATAAATAGAATATAGAGATCTACTGTTGTTTGTTTGTAATGTGAACCTAAAAGAAGTGCGATATAAGCTGACTAGTGACTAGTGACTAGTGACTAGTGACTAGTGACTAGTGACTAGTGACTAGTGACTAGTGACTAGTGACTAGTGACTAGTGACTAGTGACTAGTGACTAGTGACTACAAGCGTGTTACTGAGTTATAACTCACGAGGTGCAAGACACCGCCTCCCCCCCAGGACCGAGTACAGACACGTGAGTAGTGTGGGTATTGTCACGGAAGTGGTAGATATGTGTTAGGTAGTCGTTGTAGTCTGTGTGGGGCTTTATTAGTCCATCTGCAATTGTGTCCTTGAAGTGCTTTATCAGCTCTTTTTCGTACGCACCACTAGGATTATAGGATATTTTATAATTTATGAGCATAAATATTTTGTCATTAAAACGTGACTTAATCAAATGGAAGGAATAATACTGAAAAAAAATCTGACCTCAATTTAGTTATCATTCGAAAATCCATGTCACCAACTCACGATTTAACCATAGCTACGACTTCTTTAGTCTTTTGCGAAAAGAGTGGATCACCCATTAAGCCTCTCATAGCGTACCCAGATCTAAGACATGGACAGTTCATATAATAATATTTCCAACATACACTGTATATTTGTTCTAAAGAAACATATCTAAGGGAAGAGATCGACAAGCAAATGAATGAGAACAAACTGAAAAACCCTCAAAAGAATTAAGTCACCAAAAATAATACGCCTGTTGATAACCAATAATAAATAATACAATCCTAACTAATCTGACCTCATTGCTTCTAGTATATGATTCCATGCTTTCAAAGTACCATAACCAAAGGATGCAAGGTCGAAGTTCTCCAGGACTTTTAACGCAATAGCAGTTACGTGGCCAGAAGCAGGTGGAGGTGCGGATATGATAGTCTGACCTCGGTACTTAAACTTAAACGGCTCATCGATAGTAACATTGTAACCTTCTAGATCTTCTACCGACATTATTCCGCCGCGACCTTTCTGAAACATGGAATTAGGCAATCTGACAATAGGGAAGAAATTAACGCAAATTAATGTGCTTCATAAATGTCATGAAATTTGTTAAGATGATTTAAAGGTCTGTTTGTTTTACAATCTGACAAATACCCTACAGCCTACCTTAGTCTTCATTACCAGAGAATCACGGCAAACAAAAGTATGTATCAGTATAACTCACAATAGCTTTCACGATGTTCTCTGCTATTTCCCCTTTGTAGAAGCCATCAGGTCCTTCTCTAGCTATCTTCTCATACGCGTCTGCTAGCTTCGGATTAGTGTAAGTTTCACCAACCTGAACGTAGAAACTTTGAATTCATGTTGACATTAGTACATGGCTAAAAAGCTAAAATTGACAAATTGGAGAAAACTAAAGATGTCCCTTTTCTCAAGGATATGAATGTCCAAACACTCCCCTTACCTTTTTGTATGACTCTAAATTTGCTCCATTGAAGAACATGGACTTGAAATAATCAGTTTGAAAGCAGCCAGGTAGACCACCAGGTAACTGGTCTCTCGTGCCTTTCAACGTGTTTCCTAACAAGAATAGTGGATTAATGCTTTACAATATCTTAACATTTCATGATATTTATGGAGCTAACCGATGGAATAAAGTGATCGACATTCAAAGTTAAACTAAGAATAAAACAAACTGCAATTTTCCGTAAGTTAAGACAAACCCAAGTGATGGGATACTTCTATTCCTGATCTGAGAATCTGTATGGAAGGAGTAAACAAGTCTTTCCAGGGCAGTTTACCGTACATCTGATGAGCGGTCCAGTAACCCCGTACCTCACCTGGTACACCACTGGCTAAACCTCCCTGAAAATGTTAACTTGATCATTGTTTAGTGTTTATCAACTAAGAATTTCAGAATTATTCTCACGACCAGATCTTGTGAGCAATAGAGATCTAAATTCAGCAACTGACTAGGGCTTACCCTTTGAGCGAGATCAGGACGATCCACGTACATATCAGGACTTGCTGCTGCTGGAGCTTTCTCTCGGAAGTTTATAACTTTATCTTCAGTCTTAGTATGAACCAGCATGAAACCACCACTGAAATTATGTGAAACAGTGGTGGTCGGTTAATACAGACATATTCTAGTATATTCTCTCAATAAGTATCAACCTTAGCTGAATATTCTGTGTTCTGTTATGTCATGAATGCTATCACATTAACTTGGCAAAGTAACTACATGAAATCAACGTAGATTTAATAAGGTTAGATGCTTCCGACAATTGAATTGTGACATCAGACACTCACCCGCCTATTCCATTTGATTGGGGCTGGACAGCACCCAAACATAATAATATAGCAATAGTAGCATCAACCCCACTTCCTCCTTGTCTTAGAGTTTCAGCTCCAATCTTCGTACAGACATCGTTATCTGAAGCCACTGCCATGCAGTCTTTGCATTCTGGGCCTTTGTTAACTGTTCCGTCTAAAACAATTACTGATCAGACAACATTGTGTTCTGTAATCTTGGTCGTTTTTGTATTGATTGAAGTCTATTATAAATGTTAATTTGCTCATTAAGTACCTAGACCTGCATCAGCGAATCCTAGAAATCCCCCTGCAGTCAGCATCAGTACACAACCAACCAGTGCCGAAACAGCCAGGACATATTTCTTTCTAATCTTTGAAAATCTTCTCTGAAAGGGTAAAAATGGTGCACATTTTAGTAAAAAAACACCTTCTGTAGACTAAGCATTATATTTAGGTTCAGGTTAAGAGTCAAGACCCCTATTGAAGAAAGGATCTGAAAGACCTGCAGAACCAAAAGATAAGATCCAGAATACCATTTAAACAATCAATAACTACATTTTGATAATATTATTATGATAAAGAATAAATAAAGCTGCTTACTGTTGTGCTGTTACTATCTATGGTGCACTCTGAGCTCTCCCCAACAGTCTGCCATATTAAATAACGATTATATTCAGAAATAGAGCTTCCCAGAGTAATTTGTATGATAATAAGTATGACTGTAGTTACAGAAAAAAAGTTAACATTTAATTGGAAAAATTAGCCCCGTGTGATTCTGCTAACATATGGTACACAATAAAATTAAATTGCTGCCTTGTACTCAGAGGCGGCTCGTGGGAGCTGGCTGGCAGTTTTGTTGGGGGTCCAATCGATGGACTGGGGGGGGGGGGGGAGGGAGGGGGGCTTGGGAGCCGGCTCAAGCTGATCCCTCCAAACTACCGATTACATTACACACAGGGCCTTGTAAATGTAATGTGTAACACTTTACAGGCGACAGCAAACAAAAACAAAAACTTATAACATGGGTGAAACAGGAGTCAGGACACCACACGTGTACGATCTCAGCCGCGCAGTATCATATAGCAGTCAAATTGCAAAGGGTCCTGGACCCCCAAATCGAGGCAAATCATAATAGATTACCTGTAGTGGGATGCGCACGATGTGCTTTGTAACGTTTACAATTAACTATGTGTTAAAACTGCGCGGCTGAGTAGTCCAGAGGTAGGATTGGACTCCCTACAACACAAAATTTCACGAAGATCATGCGTGCGCTTACATTAAAACGTATGATAGTAAATGAAGACCTTTATATTGCGATTTGTTATTTCCTAACACTATTACTAATTACTATTTCTATTTTAAGCACCAGCCACCAGATAATAATTTTAAGGCGTCCACGGACGCCTGGACGCCCTCAATAGCCGCCTCTGCTTGTACTTAATTCATTTAATCTTGTCGAGAAAAGATAATTTTTTTGAGAAAAGACAAATGAACTCACCTCATGAGACCTTGTAGAGCCATAGTCAGGGTGCATCCCCTAGAAATTATTTCAGACCATTGTTGATTAAAGATATTATGTTTTTGTAAGACATTTGTATAGTTTAACAGCAAAGCAAAAGTCTCTAGAACCCTATTTAATTCCAAAATTTACTGCTGCTGCAGAAGCTATGACCAACTCTCAAGTCGGCAGACAATTTCAGAGCATTATCTTCCAGAAAAACAGCCAAATACATCTGACTGCAATTAATTTCATTCAATTTTATTCCTGAGAATTAGAAGAAGAGCTGTCATGTTCTTAAATTTTTCAAAGTAAATTCTTCAGAAGGTTTATTTTAGGAAATCAATAATATAGTTTTACGGGTTAGCAATCTATTGCTTTGGCAGGAATTTCGATTCACATTTAAAAAATTGTGATGTTTTAGCTATACAATATGGGTTAAGTCTTTTTCATCAAAAATCATCACATATTATAATGGATACAAGGATACAAGAATACAAGGATACAAGGATACAAGGATACAAGGATACAAGGATACAAGGATACAAAAGTGATAATTACTTTATTGAGTAAACAATAGTTGTAACTCTGAAATAATTTAAGTTAAAAAAACACTTCCAATTATTTACAGATGTGTTGGAATAATTTAGAAATATTATATCATGCTATGTATATGATGCTAGTTAAAAATTACGGCCAGGTAGCGCAGTTGGTTAGAACGCCAGCTTTGCAATCGTGAGGTTGCGAGTTCGAATCCCACTGTCTGCCTGGTCATGGGGTGAGCGTCGTTGACGTTCAGCTAAGGATCCTGAGTGGTCTATGCAGCCCCCTGGTCTACTCAGCCGAATACTCGAGAAATCGGGTGTGAGGGTTAAAATGAGGAGCAGCACATTGCAGCAAAGTCTCGGGCAAAGAAAGTATGGTACACACTACCCTAACCGTCACAGGCCATATAAATCCTTCGGCTTCCTGTGATTGGCTGGTTGCACTTGACAACCAGCCAATCACAGGAAGCCGAAGGATTTATATGGCCTGTTGACAAAGTGCCTGTTGGAATACTCCGAAGTAAAATAAGTGTCTTGATAAAAAAAATAAATAGAATTTGTAGAGTTCAATTTTATTTTGAGGTCCTATAGCATTGTGCACTGGCCAGTATTTGAGTGTAAATCTGGGCTCTTATAATAATAGTTAGGATGTATAAATAGGCTGTATATTGTTCGTTCACAAAGAGAATTGAATAGATTGCTCTTGCATGCTGGGACAATAAATTTGGTATGTTATACATTATAGTTGTTACATATTATGTTGTATTTGGTAACGAAGGGAAACACACAATATGAGGCTCGAATTCGTTGTAAAACTACATTATGGGATCGGAGCATGCATCATCAAACAAAATTTATATAAGCTTCAACATGTTTTTATATCTAATGTAAAAATTATAACAAAAGTAAAATTAATTCAATCAAAATGCTTAAAATATAAAAAATTATGGATGATGGAGCTAGCAGGACATAAATATTTAAACAAAAAAACTCCATTCGGAAATTTACTGCATAATATTTGTAGGTTTACAACCTACCAGGAAGTGCGCCGAGTTGGAACAAATATTTTACGAGTATCACCCGTAGGGACTACGGGTGGAAGATGAATAATTGAAATTCCAACAGCATCTTGTTCCCTTCATTGTGCTGATTCCGGGAAGCATTCTGTTTACGCTATCATCATTCTGTAGAATGAGATATCGTTCATTTAAAATTGGGTAATTATAGGCCTGTCAATGATTGCAGCCCAATTAAGAGCTGATCAATTGCAGCTCCTTGTGCAATATAAGGGATAACTGAGGTCACGTGACAGTCGGTCCTATCACGTGACCTTGATTCGTTAATCCTCGAGCACGTGATCACATTCGTAACGTGTCGTATGCCGACTAGGATATTTTGTGACGTCACCAGAGCTCAAGTTACTTGATCAGGCCTTATATGTAGTAATACAGTGTTTCGTGTGTAATTGGACCCAATTAGAGGATTGATTCACCCGTTAACATAATATTAAACAGTCACCATGTTTAAAATAGAAAAACTGGTAGGCAATTGTAAATAGAAATTTTAATTTTCGAACAAAAATGCACTAATCGGTATAAAATTATCAATTAACAATAATTGTTACATATTTTGTTTGGTTCATGGTTACCACAAAAATCTAAAAACTTGATGACCGGACCGAAAATAAATTTAAAATCTTCAAAATCCTATTTAATGCATAATGAAATATAACCTTTTGCTTTTTTGTACCTATGTAGTAAAATATTTGATTGACGATGTCAACCCGTCAAGATCGTTGCTTTGCGAAGCAGAGCAACGATCGACGACGATGCGAAGCAAGAATGCTATTTCGCGCGGCGCGTCGAAGCGGCGAAGTCCTCCAAGTAAAATATTGAATATACGTGGGCCGGAGTTGGCACACATTGCGCGAAGTGCGCGGCGGCCGGCCAGAGTGCACGCTTCGCGTGCGCGTGCAAGTACGAATCAAAAAAGGTGTTATACAACGTGTAATAATGTCGGGAGCACTTTTCGAATTTAAGGCCTATTCAAAAACGTTTATGATCTGATTTGCTCTAACCATGTAACCAGAGCCCTTTCGCTTGCAGTATAAGTAGCGCGCGACCGTCGAAGCTGCGGCACTTGTGAAATTTGACTATTGTTAATGATCTGGCCCGGAGCGCGCTACTTCGAAGAAATTTAGACGAGTAACATCCGTTAAGCCCGGCGCGCGCTACTTCGTAGCACTTGCCACCGGGCTAATATTTCGAAAAGAAAGCAGCGCGCGCTATACTTCGAAGAAATTTAGACGATCACGAGTAACATCCGTCAATTGCATTGTGAAACAAGCGCATCACGCAGTACGCGTAGACACATGGCTATGTGAATGATCTGATTTGACAGTAAAATGTAATATATTTTGTGTTCTTATAGCGCTTCATAAACAACGTTAAAAAAGTTTGATTATAGGACTGTTGAGCGCGCGCGCAAAGCTATGCTCATGCTATATACTGGCCTGGTTTAGCTAAGTTTTGGTAGGTTTATAACCTACCAGGATGGCAGGACACGTGCCGAGTTGGACTTGTCGACGGTCCTGGAACAAATATTTTACGAGTATCACCCGTTAACTAAGTTTTAATGTATAATTAATAATATGGAGCTAGATATCATGTTGTAATTTAATTCATAATTGGCATTCTTAATTTTCAACAATTGATAATTCACAAAGCCTAGCCATGTGTTTACGCGTATTTCTCATGATTGCGTGACGCGCTTGTTTCATTGCCTTCGGTGGTCTGGTCGCGCGCTTCTAATTCTGCAAGCGAAAGGGCTCTGGTGTTAGAGCAAAACTGAAATTACCTGGGGACCCCAGGCTATTATGTTCATAAACATTACTGAGCCGCGCTCAGCCTGTCATTCCGCCAAATGTTTATGAACATAATAGCCTGGGGTCCCCAGGTAAAGATTTGGCGGAATGACAGGCTGAGCGCGGCCCAGTAAAACTGAAAACAATTGACTCATCGACGGTCCTAATATATGGAACAAATATTTTACGAGTATCACCTGTTAACCTTTCGCTTGCACTTGCAGTGCCAGTAGCGCGCGACCGCCAAAGTATTCTACGTACTTGTACACTGCCGCGCGCAGTGCCGTGACCGGTATGCGTCGTAATTAGCTCGTATTCAGATTTGAACAATTTTGAAGCCAAATTAAGGAATTTGTTTTAGATTTTAATAAATAATATGGACACAGTTCGAAAGTAATTTGTCTACTAAATAGTATTATGAAAGAATGAACAAAATTGGTTAAAATTTGCCATAGATGTGACAAAAAAACTACGCACAGAATTGAATATTTCTCCACCAACGCGTGAACATTTTTGAGTTCAACATTATATATTTTAGCTTGGTAATTGTAATACTCAATTTTTCAAAGCCCTATCCGATTACTAAGTATTTTATTTATACGACAGTATTTGACCAAAACCCATGATCATGGGTAGAGTGAACCGCTGCCAGTGTCTCTCTTTTCCAAACAAAAGAAAATGATATTAATTTGAGGAACCGTCCGCAAATGCAAATTGATACCGAGAATGAAATCGGTCGCTCGCTTTTCCCATTCAATAAGCTTTATTACAATACGTAAGCCGTGAATGAATGGGAAAAGCGAGCGACCGATTTCATTCTCGGTATCAATTTGCATTTGCGGACGGTTCCTCAAATTAATATCATTTTCTTTTGTTTGGAAAAGAGAGACACTGGCAGCGGTTCACTCTACCCATGATCATGGGTTTTGGTCAAATATCATCTCTTTTTGATTATAATGTCAGGATAATTTACACAGTCGAAACTTAATAAGGAGGTAATTTCAACTATTTCGAAATTTTACCTTTGAAAACGTTTCCTTGTGTTTAGGTAGGCATATCTGTCAATAACAGACTGAATATAGCACTTTTTACTCATTCAAGTTGGCATTAAATTCATATATAATGCCATTTTAATATCGTGGGAAAGCAGAATATATTCGAAATCACGAATGAGCAAAATTCTCACCTTTCGCACGTGCAAACTTTGAGCGGACGTTGCGTGCGCATAAAATATTGAATCACCATAAATTTTTGCATAGTGTTATTTAATATATAGTTTGATAAGCATGAAAAGTTTCAGAAGATTTCAAAAAGAACTTGGATCACAACGGGACTCCAAAGTTGGTAAAAATCGTGAAAATAACAATTTTTAGTGATTTTAGCTATTTTAAATGAATTTGGGCGTGTCCCCACGTGTGCAACTTTTCGATTTTCAACTTTAAAACTAGCCTATAACACAATTTAGACCTTTAGGAAGCAAAATTGAGCTCCACAACCCAAGGGATGGCCCAACACCAGAGAATACTAATTCACAACTTTTGTGTTTTTATAAAATTATTCTTCAAAAAAGCACAAACTTCAATAGCGAATATCTTTATGAAGGAGCAAGGTAGGAAAACTTTCCGGTAGATTTTCAGAATGCTTGAACAATTATCTAAGATGAAAATGTCCTCAGATTTTGAATAAAATTACTCCTTAATGCTTTAAAATCGATTTGAAAAGTTGTTATTTTGTCAAAAATCAAGTTTTAAAAACACTTAAATTGATGACGTCATCAAGTGATGATGATGACGATAAATTATTTTTCGATATAATGTAAACTAAAGTATAAACAATTATCTTTAAAACCTGTGGTTCGAAATGACTGTATCTTTTATACTTTTGAATCTACGGACACTTAAATGTAGGCTACAATTTACTGCAAAAGCGTCTATACATATATACATATATATATATATAGCTTCACGACAATCTGTTGTAAAACAGGGGTTCCAGAAAACCCACTTCCCGATACTCCTGCAACATGAAATTTTTTTTACAGTCGATTTGGACAAGGTCTAGACGCTCTGCAAAGTTTCAGATCTCTAACTCAATTTTAACATGGTTTTTAAGGCACCTGAATATGGCGATTTTGGGTTTTTTACCTAATTTCGTATAACATGCTGGCGCGTATTTTGCGCAAATTTCTTAAAAACCTCCACATAACTATTTCTTATTCCTGTCATCTTTAACATTGAATTAGAATGTTTTGAACTTAAATATACCTGCTGAACTACTTTCGATGAGTCTTAATGCCTGGAAAACAATAAAGGGGATATAATAGTATAGGGGGTACATAGTGTTGTGAATATAAGGGCAACGGTTATGCTTGCCAGCATTGTGATAAATTTTTTTTGAATATTTGCTTGATTAAAATAACAATAGGAGTAGGAACGTCGAAGGTCTTGCGCTTATTTTAGTCCCAAAATATATACAAATCATTAATTTCATAAAAATCACTGAAAGTGATGTCTACAGGTATATTTAGCCCTAACACCTTCCCAAATCATTTAGCAAGGGTTCATAGACAGTTTTTAAGATCAACTTCAATATCATTGTTAAGACATAATACTAAAAGTAAATCATAAATGAGTGGTTTCTCTTTCTCTTTCATTTTAACACATCATGCATTAGTAGGAGCAATCCGAGATCTTTATTAATCATTGAAGATGTAGAACATAGAATAATTGGTCCTCTTTAGTGTCTGATGACCGATACTCCTGAAAAGATATTAGAGATATTATCAATTATGTAAAAAGAAAACAATATTGAATATGTGTGCGCTTCGTTTAAGCGATCAAATAGTCAGTGTGCAGTGCACAGTGGAGAACAGTTTAAGGCACCGGAAATGTTCCAAATAAATCCTCTGTCTACTATCAGACCACACACTTCACTATGCACTTCAATGTATCGTATAACAATGGCAGTTGAAATGTGTTCCCGCCATTTTAAAATCAAAAATGTGCGCAGCATCTTACGGGTTATGCGCCGTGATCAACGGTCACGGCGCAATGGTTATGCGCCGTGACCATTGATCACGGCGCATACACATTGCGTTTAAATTGTCGTATAAATGTCCAGCTTTTCTGTGAAATTTGGTTGACTCGACTAATTTAAAAATTTAATACTCTTTGTTTCATTCTAGTTTAATTGTATTTCTATTATGGTCGGAAAGAATTACAATGTTTTTTTCTTCTACTGGGCCACATTCAGCCTGTCATTCCGCCATATTTTCAACGGCTATGAACACTAACATATGAACACTTATATGAGCCTGGCCCCATGTAAGATGTTTCTTTGTAGTCAGTAGTGTATTACTATTTCGGTTTTATAGTCGCATTTAATTCAGTAAATATTAATGGTTTCTTCACCTCTTCAATGTAATTGGTTTGGAGGTCATTTGAAATAAGGAGGTAAAATAACTCACATAGCTTCCAGCAAGTTTCACGGATACAGTGATTGAGTTTTTAGTCAACCTAGCCTCTTTGCCTGACTGATTTCTTGTTCGGCAGGGTGACTGCTTAAACGTCAACTTCAACCTCTTCCACTGCATCGAATCGTACTAGTAGAATTTATACCTGAAATATTACATTTAGTTTAGCGACCTTCACATGTGGGTCAAACTTAGTATTTCTGAAAGTTTCGCCAAATTTCATTGATTTCAGAGGGTGTGGCACGTCACTCTCTCCTTTTAGTTTTAATTATTGTCGCCATAAAATGACAACACGTTATACTAGGAACTCCAAAGTTGACAGACAGATTTGGTATAATAATTCAAGTGATTCCCAAAATTTCAAGTTGATTACACAATTTGGCCAAGTTATGACCCATTTAAGGGCTAGCACGACAAAGGGGAACCCCAATTATTAGGGGGTCAGATTATATCACCAATTAGTGCCGTATGATTAATGATGTTATCCATCCAGTTGTTTGACATGTGCCCGGATGAAGGATATGAAAACCCTGCTCAATATATTTAAGAGATATGTGGACTGGTCACGTTTCCAGAATCCAGTTGAAATCCTCCAAGTCAAGAGCCCTGGTTATGAAGAGGGGGGTAGTAGTAGAATGGTATGAAGAGAACAGTGGAAGTGGAGGCGTCGAAGAAAGTCTGAGTCTAGGGGGAGATGTGATTCCAAACGTAGCGGAAAAGCCAATCAAGTTCCTGGGTCGGTGGATTAGAGCAGAGGCAGCACACACAACAGTTTTCTGACGAAGTGGCAGGGTGTATGCCATACACTGAGTAACATCTGCTTATTTAGTCAAACATCTAGTGTGGCCTTGCCCATCGGCAGCCTGTCCGATACTTGGAAGCTGGAGAAATGTCGACTCCATCAGTCCTACCAGCAGTTTTATGATGACATGATAAGGGCGATTCAACCGCAAGTCAGGTCAGGGAGAGTTTGGAGACCAGACAAGGAACTAGATTGTGCTGAGAGGGACTTAGTCTGTGAAGCGGTGAGAGGAATGGTCCAGCCGTACAGCAGGGCAAGGATTGGTTTTGGAGAATGGAAGAAACCGTGGAAGAAGATGAACGCCCGGGAACAACAAGCTGAGGTCCTTCAGAGAGTTAAAAGAAACCTCGAGCATGAAAGGGAAGTTCAATGCGGCTCTCTTGAGATGCAGTCAAGATGGGGCCGTGGAGGGAAGAGGTTATGAAGACGGACATGAGCTGGCACACACTCTTTAAGTATGGTGATTCGCTCACAGGTTTTATGCTCAGTGCGACTTATGGTACTGTGGTCACACCAAATTGATTTTTTTAAATAATCCAAATACAGGCAGCGATTTAGTCAACTTAAGTTTGTCATTTATGTAATTGAACATTAAAAATGTATCCTTCATAGAATTTTGTATTATCTCGAGGGTATAAAATTGTCAATTGAGAAACACGTCATAAATCTACACAAATAAGTTCATTAAAATAGCTATCAATCAGTAAATAAACGAACCTGTACATCTAGATGATGTAGGTCCACCACTTGTAACTTGTCAGACCGGTTGTTGTACAGCTTCCTGTTCAGCCTGAAAACACATTTCTGTTACCATGACAACTTTACCATTACAAGTTACCCGTGATGGGGAGTGTCATGAGGTTACGTGACTGATAAAGTTAATACACCTCCTCTCCACTAATAGTGCACTAACCTGGAAATGAGGGAGTAGAGACTCCAAAAAGTGAGGACCAGCGTCATGTCAGTAACTTTTTAAAAAGCCCCCTATCATAATACTTTAGTTTCTCATGCACGATTAAAAATAGTAGTTCATCTTGGGATGTTACTTCGAGTTTGAGATCAGTATACGCAGTTACAGTCATTCTTAGAATTATGTCAACTGGTGCATCGCCTACCATAACTACTGAAATGAGTGCCAAGAGTCAGTTTTGTGGATTATATTGCTGGCTTTAAAGTGGTTTTAAAAAGTTTAAATAGTAGGGTATTTATAAAACACATTATTTGGCCGTTAGATCCTGAAATTAGTGCCAGGAGTCTGTTTTGTGGATTATATTGTTGGCTTTAAAGGGATTTAAAAAGTGTAAACAGTAGGGTATTTATAAAACACATAATTACTGAACACGTGTCGAGATTAACTTAAAACGTGAAAAATCAATAATCAAATAATCACACGTTTCCTTGCCCCTTCCCTAGTCTGAAAAGTGAAAACTACCCCCTCCCCTTTCACCGAACGTGTGTCTAATCACGAGCAATTTAAATCAAACACGTAAAAACAAGTAACACATAAATGCGAGTACAGTGGCAGTCAACTACATGAATGGAAGTCAACTGATAGTGCGGAGAAACACGGCACACACGTTAGGCCAGGAATGTTCCGCGCCATATAAGGAATAATTCACTGGGTGTACAAATAAACAATGTGGTTGGGCCGTGAACTGGTGGTATTTTTTACACAACTTGTTTTAGTGGGCTTGTCAAGTCCGGTCCTGTGCTCGATTATAGTAGTATAGAAGTGAGGCGGAACACCATAGTATGAAGACACAGGCACTTTTAGAGTCCATTTTAATATCACTTTTCACGCTCAGTGCTTCAGACCTTAAAGTAAAACTGGCACTTTCCATTTTAACTTCGGCTAATTGATCCCTTACCAATATAAGATAAGTTGTAAATGTAAGTATGAATTGTGGGTCAAATAAGACAGTAGTTTTTATGTTCTTATGTGACTTTTTAATCTATAATTCCCGGCCAAAAACTCAAAATTGGCCGGGGCCGGGAATAAACACCTCCCCCGGCGCCGGGAATCCCGGTCGTTCACTGCATTACAGCACAGTAAACAGAGCCAAAGTTGTTACTTGTCAAATGATAAAATAGAATCTCTAGAATACAAATAAATTCATTTGATCAACATCGAAAATGACGTCACAACGACGGTAATGTCAATGACGTCACGAAGCTAACTTGAAGTTTTTGCTGCTGTCTGAGTTTATCAGCTTGTTCGCCAGTCTCTGTACTTCTTCAGCGTGCTGATTCAACAGCTCCTTGGTCTTTCAGCGCTTTTAGCTTCTCCTGAAATAATCGAGAGGTAATATTGTCTTCTTTCTCTAATAACAAACAAAATAATAAACAAACAAATAAGCAAAGTTTTGTCTGCTTTCAAGCTCAAAAGTAATAGTTTAATATAACAAGACTGATTGGCTAAGCATGTTGATCTAGTAACACTAACACGACTCACGAGCCCTTTAAAGCTTGTAATAATGTAAGGCGTGACTGTGTTTTCTATGGAACCTAATTTCTGCATGACAATGTTTAACCTAATTTCTACATGACTATAATGATCCAGCTATCAGGAAAATTTAAACATCTAATAATTTAAAATTATTATTTTAACTAGAAGTTCATTTAAAAGTATCGAAATCTTAGTTCTATTTTTACAGTCACCTTTTTAACTATTGAGTTCAATGATTGCTAACTTTGATTTACTCTTTAACTAAAATTTGCTGAAATTAAAAAGTTGTATGATAAAAATTAAAAGGTACACAAAATCAAAAACTTAGTCGATTAAACTCGTTTCTAGTCTGCGTCCAAACTTACTTATTATTATTAAAGTTAAACGTTAGAATTTATAAATAATAGTAAAACAGGATTTAATATCTCCCAAAGGATCAACCTCGTGAACTGTAACTTCGATTTAATAAAAGGCTCGAATAAAAGCAAAGAGGTTACTAAGCACTTACCTATTACCCCCATGACATAAGGTTAAAATTCTCCCCTAACGAGATATTGGCGAAAAACTGTCTCGATCACGTGATATGACCGTATAATTTCTCTATAGTGTTTCAGTATATGCTTTTGTAAAGGATTTGGTTAGGGTTAGGCCGTTAGGGTTGGGATCTGATTAGAGGGTTATGGTTTCCGGGGTTCGAATATAGTTGTTTAGGGCCATCTACAGAACGGGTTGAAGAAGTCACGTGACAGGCGATTGTAGAGTGATTAATCATCATCCGCCATAACTGCCATCGTAAACAGTTAATTAATTAGGTATCAACAATCAAGTACAATATATAATACAGCAGGGCTGATTACTGCTGACACATTATAAAGCAACTAAAGAACTAAGAGCAGAAATATGGATGATGGAATAACGCGAGGCAACAGCAATTAAGGCGCGAACAGTGAACGCACGAGGTGTAAAGCTCAAAGTGCTCCTTCATCAATTATGTTCACTCTTAGACGGATTTGACACGCGAAATTGCGCGGCAATTATGCGCGGCGCGTAAAACTTTTGTAAACCTTTCGGACAAGGGTTGAATTATTTTTCTACTGTCAACACAGCCCAAGTTATACATGTTTTAATATCAAAAAATGTCCAATTTTTTTGTATCATTTTTAACTAATTTCTTTTTCAAATCGCTGCCACATCAAAATTATTTTACGAAAGTACATTAAATTTTCACAGAAAGCAAGTTTAATCGTTTTAGAACTATATTATTATTAAAAAAGAATTTAATATAAAAAATGTTAAAACTTTAAAATTATCAATTGAATAAATTGCCAATGTCCAAATATGTGTAAAATACGACGAAGAGGGGTCACAACACTGCGCGCAGCAGTGTTGTACGTGTATTCTACTTCAAGTTGTGAAACAAGCGCGTGTCGCAGTACGCGTAGGCTAGGTGAAGTATTTTGCATGAATTGGTCGCAATTTCACTGAAAGCGAAAAATGCATTTTTAGAAAAAGTTTTTTCTTTGTAACTGGTCCATTCTATAGCTTGAATAAACTTCTGTATTAAGTTAATCAAGATATTTTGGAATCTGGAAGGGGTGTGTACTGTGTAACGTCTTGTTTAGATAGTGGACAAAACTCCATAGTATATAAGAGGGCACGGTATTGTCCGGGAGGGTTATGGAAGGGGAGTTCTGTTGGTCCCATCTAACATAGGACTTGTATCACGTTGCGACCCCCACGGTCGTTTCACTATGTGATATGTCCCCCTTTATCGTTCTGACGATACAGGGGGAGCCGCGCACTTCGTGCGCGGCGGGTCATACAACGTATGATAACATAGGACCTCTTCCTTTATGGGCCCCTTGCCCCCAGCCTGTAGGTTGCTGCCCCATCTTAAACGTGACATGCAATTCATTGTTTCTCAATTCTCACACACACGAAGGTTTTAGGCAGTGCAGTAAAATGTGGTCACCTTTCATTAGGTTGAATTACTCTATTAGGTGTTGCATTTGTCACTCTTAACTCACTTGTCACTTGTCATTTGTTAGTTACTATAGCATTAGTTATTATAGCGGTTACTATGGTTACTAATTGTCACTCCAAATGCTGAAGACATTTATTTATATTTTAGAATCACGACAACGTTTTTATAGGGTTTAACTTTATCATTTATGGCATTGTTATATAGTGACTAGCTATGCAATCCGAATTGATTTCAACCAAACCATGGTCATTCTTATAAAGTTATTATTCCCCTTAACTTTGAACTTCAAGTGGGATATAAAGGTCATTTAGCTAGTCATTGAAGCATTGACATCAACTATTATCATATAACGTATTACTCTGCTCAAGTCGGTAGTAACTTTCATTCAACTACAAATTGCTCGTTGCAGTGGCGGTTTAAGACACGCAATGATTATTTGTATTACCATATTAAAACCATATGATTGTGGTGGTTATACTATCATCGAGGCCGACTTTAAATCATAAAGCAATCATAATTGCTCAGTAAATTTGATCATAAATTGAATAACCCTTTGTATAATTTACTTTACTTATTTAACTAAGACGGTCATGATGCTTACCAGGACTGAACTTATTTCTCAAGATTAGACCAATCTTTTAAATTGAGAAGCTGTTACAATGCTGTATTACTTTCAGTAATTGATAAAACAATTTATATTTAAGGTTGAATCAGAGTTCACTTTTATAGTTTTATTCATTTACGTTATTTATTAGTATTACTAACCTGTACTTTAACTTTACTAATTACCATAAGCATAGTAAATCTGGCCCACTACACACACTATCCCAATAAAAGACACCCAATATTCCTTACCTTCCATTACTTATCCACAACGTTCATTTCACCTCTCGTCCCTATTCTAATGAATTTCCGCTAAGATGCATTACGTTTTTTTAATATGTTTGTCCGATCGAGTGCAAGACTGAACTGTATGTTTGGAATAATACTGCTTGATTTACGCAACATTGGCAATCTGATCTCGAATATTTCATATGAGAACGTCAAGGAAGTTGCTCCCTCATTTTTCCAAGCATTTTTAATTGTTTTATAAATTGCAGCAGTCGCGCTAACATGCAGCTTTTGATTAACGCCATTATTAAATTTGTTTATATTTCTGAATAAAATGCGAATCTATTTTCACTGGTGCACAATATTCCTTGAATGCTTTGGTTTTTTTTGTCGTATTCCGTTCAGTGAGCTGGATTTGTTGATAAATAAAATGACGTCCCATTTGTACTTTATAAATATTTAATTGTAACTCCCGACCACACTGTATTTACTGCAAAACACATTTCCATTATTATTCTTACCTTCCAATAGCAACAATATAATGGAGCCGGGCCATAACGACTACTCTTAGCATGCATATCATGTGACAAAATAAATCGTTTCTCGTTAGAAAATCAGGACTATTATATGGTGCATGCACTGTCCCCAGTTCATATATAGTTGTAAGCGCAGTTACATGTTATTGATAAAATTTGTTGCTGACTCATGACTTCGTGAGGCAATTGTGGAAATTGGGTAATTTCCACAACTGAGGAGAGTTAAAATTATCCTTTAAAATTTTGGAAATATTCCAGCACCAATCGTTAAGACTTTAAGAGAAACAACTAGTTTGTGGTAGGTTAAAGATCAACTTTATAAAGTCATGGATAGTTCTCCATTCTTCTTCGTGCGGTGAAAATACTAAAACCATGCTTGTCATTTGTTTCAAATAATTAAAATCGCCTATTTAAAACTCGGATACACTTAATCAGTGAAAAGCTAATTAGGAACTTACCCGCAAGTAACTGTTATCCCCTGATAGAGGTTTATCCTGCGGTTTACCAGTTCCCAATAAGAGTTCTAATGGCCGACACGCTTCTCATGCACACGCTCCTTCATTACCAATTTTAAACAATTCCAAGCATCCAAGTAACTAAAATTACATGAGAATTGAATGGAAGTTTTAAATGTTCAGTTGTCACTGGCCGCATACTCATTGTGGCACCGCACACTGCCACGCGCTGAACAGATAGCTGGAAACGATCGTGGCATCGGCGTTAATTGGAAATTTCAGCAGTTTAGAAAACAATTTCTATAGAAACTTGATCCGTAACCCGATTCTTATTTTCACATAATCCATCGCCTAGCTCTCACAAAAGCCTTTTATGATAATTTACCGCCACATGATGCATCATGATTGTAGTTTTGTTATAATATTTTTAAGCTTTCGGTCCAGCTCTCGAGCTCAGAGCAAGCAGTTTTAGGCAATATGTTATGTAACATGCACGTCGTGCAGCCGCTCATAGTGATTATTTGACAAGGTCACGTGACCACCATTGTGTCCAATAGTTAAAATCCTTCAAAATAGATCACGTGGTTCCTGAATGAGACACATTTACAACATTCTGCGTGTCCGATGCATTATTACAGCTCTTGCTCGAACGGCAGTATACTGTTGTTATCGTCGGACGTTTAAAAAGGCTTCCATCTGCACGAGTCAGTACCGCCGGATAACCGCTCATAATGATTATTTGTTAAACACCCTGCCGTGCACGAGATGAGTGCTTGTACCAATGGGGCAGGAATATGCTTGCCTCGAGCCAGCTCATTCTCTCCCCGGCTCCGTATTGTTGCTTGGTCTGACACTGCTTCTATCCGCAAGAAGTTGATGTATGGAGGCTCCCAAACATCGCTAGCAGCTGCACGACCCAGGAGTCCACGAACCACGAATCATTCCCACGAGATAACGTCCTCTAAATCACTGAGAGTCCGTCCCCAGACCATCCCATACCGGCCTAAATCAGGAGTGTTATCTGGTAGACCGTGTAGTGCACCCCCACCAGGCATGTATAACATAAGGAAGAAAGATGGTGTCGTATCCCCAGCTAAAGGGATCTCCATGGCAACTCTTAACTTAGAGCTGCCAGAAACGGCCCCTAAAGCTAAACCCGCGAGTGTGTTCCAGCCCAAGATTCCACCAAAGAAACAGTGTGCACAGTGGTATTCTGGTGAAGGTCCTGCCAAGGGCTCTTCAACCATCTTCCCAGGGGTTAGTTTTCACAATCTATGCAATAGAAGTACTCTCTCATCATCTACAGCTGTATACACTTTTTATAGAATAGTCACAGCTTGGCATCATACGTCATAATCGATGATGCGTTTATAATTTATATCTGAAGAAGCTGCTCTAGAAATACTTAAGACGACTTTTGTCAAGTTTTGAAACTTTAACTATTTCAGGTAGCAATCCCATCTCCATCTCCAACCGGTGGAACCGCGGCTCCTGCTGAAGTAGAACCGGTCGCAAAATCATTTACAGAATCAGACATCAAGAGAAAGATCAAGAAGAACAGGCAGATACAAACTGGACCTAAAAGAGATCTTCATTTGTCTCATAGGATCGCTCATTTAACTCAGCAAATCAATGACTGCAAGCAGCTTGCCAGGGCCTCCAGTATCGTTATCAGATGATAAATGGACGGCAAATGAATAATATGAATAATATGATAATTGATTAATCTTTTAACTAATTGGTTGATCAGAGAATTAATGGTTGTGATGAATAAGAGTGAACTGGTGTTAACGATAACGCTATAAGTTGAAATAGACTTGCGTTTAATGACTTTTCAAGCTTTTCAGGATCATACGACTGTTCCAGGAGGAACACTCGATAAAACATGAAGTTGATTATTCTGGGATGCACATTGTACACGTGCGAGCGATCCACTTGGAAAATATTTTAATCTTTTCAAAGCTACCGTGTTTAGAATCCAGACCAGTCGTTCTCAATCATCCTGGTTGCCTGCGTTAAGATTTAACATGCTTGTCATCAACTGGAGTCATTTTATTGTAGTTATGTTGCATGTTTTTATGCTTGCATTATTACAATTTTATAAATTAATCGACGGAAATTAAAAGTCGGGATGTTTTACTGTATAAAATCATCATTCTCTATTATAGTGTAAAAACGCATGAATAAGTTAATCTAGAATAGTTATAATCTATGACATCCATGTGCATTTACTGCAATCTCCGTGTCTATCCGTAAAGACATAAATTAAGTATGCAAAATATTTTGTTTAAACTGGAGGCAAAATAACCGATTCCTGATTGTTGGTAATTTGGAATGACATCCTTTGAAATAAATATAGTCATCGTAACATTGATTAATGATGTCAATTCAAATTTTCAGCCCCTTAAAATTTCAACTGAAACATGAATCGTTGGCCAATTGCTTATTGCATTGAAAGTATAAGTCATTTACCGGGATATAATAATACATTTCTGATTATTGGAATCCTCTATAATGAGTTATGTTGTGAACATAGTATTTATGATTTTGCAACCGGGGACAATCTGTATGGTATTTGCAACTGATTAGCCACTTATATAATTCCAATAAAAAATATGATAAATTCAGCGACTTGCATTAGTTATTTGGTAACCATGGTTTCCACTTATTAATAGTTTTATCGTCCCTGTCCTCCAGCTCAACAGTGTAAGGTTTAAAAGCACTCGGTACATCTCTGTACTTATCTCCCACGAAAAATACTAACTCGGACATCTCCAAGGTCTGCTGTCCCAGGTAATCATACATTTCTTTTGCGAGGGACTTAAAACGTTCCTGTTCCGTGAACAGGTCGTGTTTTTCAGATGGATCGTTTGAAAGATCGTAGAGCCGTATCTGAGAGTGCTCAAATTCACCTATAGATTTTATGTCTCTGAAGTTATAGTCCTTGTTTTTCAGATTATCCCCAAATTTAATTATCTTTTGGTCACAAACACGGCTGACTTCTTTGTACATATCACGTCCATCAGGGTTTAACGTTGTGTTCTCAAAGCTTTTATACCAGGTTGCACCTTTATCTGAAATGTACATAAATTATATTATATGGGCAGCTTCTATAGAGAATACCGTATCTTAAGGTAATAGTGAACCTAATGTCTAATGCTGAACAAATATACCACTAGGGGTACGGTTAGGATTAGGGTAAGCGGTAAGGAACTGTTAGGGATTTGATCCGCCAACCTGCAACCATATCTAGAGACTGTGATCTAATCGCAGTGTAATTTTCTGTTCAAAAGATGAAAATAACAAATAAGTTTAAAAACTAAATATAATGTCATCCTCATTAACATATGACTTCTATCATACGAATACTACCAGCAACCTTGTAGTGGAGGGTAGATGCCATCGTAGGGTTTTGGTGATGGATCTCCCACAATTAATTTGTAGTTATTTTTAATGTACGCTGCTTGTTGGTAAGCTGGATCTAGCTCTAGGATCACATCTTCTCTGGCACTTGTGTTAGTGGTTCCTTGTAGCAAACCTGAGGCAAACAATTTCGTTCTTATGCCGACACAAATTTCCAGTTCAGCTCTGCTCTTTAAACCAGAAGCAATAGTCATGCTGCCTCAAAACAAGGTGCAATTTCTAACCTTCAAATTAATAATTAGTTAATTAAATGAATAATCAAACCTGACTGATCCACTCCGTCTAGCTTTAACTTAGTCTCCAGTTCGACCAGACCGGCTATTGTTGGCAGCCAGTCAGTGATGTGGAAGAGCTCAGTGCTTACCACACCTGGCTTTATGCCAGGTCCCCGAACAAAGGCTGGCACTTTGACCCCTCCCTCCCAGACAGTCCACTTAGAGCCCCTTAGAGGCCAGTTGGTTCCTCCCAGACTGTTGCTGTTTATTGGTCCTTGTACCGCCCCTAAATGTGATTTGCAGACGTGATAATTCGTTTTGTTATACGAGTAAGAGAGCCAATTGATTTTCTCTTTATGATCGGAAAAGTTAAACGATGGATATGGAAGTGATGTGATTGCTAAAAAGGAATGATTTGGTTACTTTTCATGGCTTCTCAGGTAAAGGATGATAAACAGCTCCTCTTTGTCAATTTAATTGAAAGGAGGAATTGTAACAACCAACCTCCATTGTCACCGGTGAAGATGAAGATTGTGTTATCGTACATTCCTTTAGATTTTAAAGCTTCAGTCAACTGTTGCACTCCGGTGTCCATACTAACCATCAGAGCTGAGAACTTTCTCCTTATCTGTAATAGAATAAGGGTTCAATAATTCGAAGAGAATTAAACCGGAAACAAAATCTAAGAAGCGTTATGTTCAGTTTAAAAGAAGTGATGATGATCTATAAAAACTAAGGAAAGTGCAAAATTTTATAGTTGGTGACGATCCAAACTCAACCACTCTAAACCAGTGGAGTAACGTTGCCTGTCGCCCCCCCCCCCCCGCCGCTGAAAAAGCGCCCCCCTGTTGGCGCCCCTCCCCTTTTGGCGCCCCTCCCTAAAATTGAACAAATTAAATGATTTTAGAGGATACGCCGGTAAAATCTTTACCGCCCCTCCCGCACAGCGGGTCGGCGGGGCCCTTTGTTACGCCACTGCTCTAAACCAACATTGAATACGACTGACAAAATTAGTTTCTCCCCTAAACTCACTTCGTTAGTGATGTTTGAAGGGACCCTCCTCAGGTCGTCCTCTAAGACTTGAAGTGGACTGTGAGGGTTCATGTAGCTGACTGTTAGGAACAGTGACCCCTTCTCGGCTTCATGATCCTGACAATTAGGAATACTTTTATGTGCTGATAGAATAAATTAACATTTACTCTTTCTAGTCAAAATTGTGACGCAATTGTCCATTAATGTTTTTGTTCGGCACTGTTCTGTACCTCACGAACAGTTAAAAAAGCACGGCACTGCAGCACCATCTCTCTGCATCGGATTATGATGTTGTAGTTTTAATACTGCAGAGCATAATCCAGAAGCTATAATTACCTGGATTATTTGTACTGCTTTATCTGTGAAAAGCTTCTCTGAATACTCCAGCCACGTATCTTTGATTAGTTTTATATTCTGTTTATCCGTCTCCTCAACTGTCCCATCTGAGATGAGAATTGTTTTAATACAGTACAGAGCTGGTAGTTCACTACACGTTATCTTCTATACCATATCCAAATTTTTAAGACCATTTTAATTTGATCAAATGATAAAGTCTTAATTATATATCAAGGCTATAACAAATCACGTTTCATCTCAGATATATCATCTTGTAAAAGGCCGGATTCGAAATGTGCCCCTTTCTCTTACCAATATAAGACTTATCAATGTGAGAATCTAACCAGTTTGAATATCCTTCTCAAAGTGTTCGTGAAGATCAAAAGCTGAGTTATCAGGGCTCTCAGGTTCAGCGGATATGTGTGTAAAGTAGTCGGAGAATCCTCCGTACATCCCAAAGAAGTAATCGTATCCTCGCCTGGTAGAAGTGTTTATATGAGAAGTTGGGTACGGGGTATTCTTATCAAGTTATCAGGAAGTTATGAGTCCATGAAATGAATGGACTCTGTCGATGCTGCATATAAATGCAGAAAAAATGATTATTCCATGAAATACATAGTTCAGTGTTCATTATAAAAGCTACCTACTTGATGGGGGTGTAATCCCATTTAGAATAACCAAGATGCCACTTCCCCACTAAATAAGTGTTATATCCTCCTTCCTTCATGATCTGAAATGTAATATAGAATAATAGATTTTGAAAACGACAAATTTGAATTTTCGTATTCCATAATCAGGAACGTGCTAGTTTTTACTTCGATTGGTTAAAAATTGTAAAAGGGAGAAACTTTCAGTGCAGTAAAGATATGAGAAACGGCAGAATCTGACCTGGGGTAGAATTTTTTCCTCTGTTGGTAAACCCAACTTGGCACCATACAAAATAGGTCTAGCTCCCTGCAGACCAAACCTGTCGAGAACAACTATTAATACTTTAATAAGAAGAATATTTTAATGACTGTCTCAATGCTGCGTTTTGAAGAGTTCGTGGATTAACAAATATCAAGAATTATCTGAGATTATATTATAAATTATATTGAATCATATATTATTATATGTGCTTATTAGGTATTTAACTTGTAAATCAGACAAATTCAATTTAATGATCTCCTCGTTTGATACTTTTACAGACACCTAATTATCTTAGAGTACATTACTTCAAGTATTTTACTTCTTAATTTGGGTTCTTATCTACATATTATCGTCCAGTGTAGAGTGCTGCTCTAACTGGAGTACAGATGGACTTACCTATAAGGATATCGTCCAGTGTAGAGTGCTGCTCTAGCTGGAGTACAGATGGAATTACCTATAAGGATATCGTCCAGTGTAGAGTGCTGCTCTATAGCTGGAGTACAGATGGACTTACCTATAAGGATATCGTCCAGTGTAGAGTGCTGCTCTAGCTGGAGTACAGATGGACTTACCTATAAGGATATCGTCCAGTGTAGAGTGCTGTTCTAGCTGGAGTACAGATGGACTTACCTATAAGGATATCGTCCAGTGCAGTAGAGTGCTGCTCTAGCTGGAGTACAGATGGACTTACCTATAAGGATATCGTCCAGTGTAGAGTGCTGCTCTAGCTGGAGTACAGATGGACTTACCTATAAGGATATCGTCCAGTGTAGAGTGCTGCTCTAGCTGGAGTACAGATGGACTTACCTATAAGGATATCGTCCAGTGTAGAGTGCTGCTCTAGCTGGAGTACAGATGGACTTACCTATAAGGATATCGTCCAGTGTAGAGTGCTGCTCTAGCTGGAGTACAGATGGACTTACCTATAAGGATATCGTCCAGTGTAGAGTGCTGCTCTAGCTGGAGTACAGATAGACTGTCCGTAGTATCTATCAAGTCTTACTCCTTCCCTGGGAGAGTTTTATTTGTACAGCTAATGACAGGAGTCATGATAGAATTGGGCAATTAATCGTAATTCGTATTTTTGTATTGGTAAATTCTTAAAAATATTGCTAGCTTAACTGAACAATTAATTACGAACGTTGCAAGTTTGTCGAGGTGCGGAGTTTTAATGTCCCCGAACTGGTTGTAGTATCCGATATCGTTGTAGCCCATGTCGTCTGCGATAACCAATACCACGTGAGGCTTTCCTTCCTGGGAAAAGTAATTCTGATTAATTTAAATATTATCAGATTATGCGAACATTAATAACCGTGATGTACCGGATGAACCCCAATTTACAGCGGTTTCTCCGAATGCCTGCAAACTCCGGTCCTAATCGGGCAAAATAAATAATTAGGGCCAATAAGGTTACTATAAAAAGCACGACTACAATTAGCTAATTAGTGAAAACAAACCTTGTGAACACTTTTGCTTAAGGATGTGATTGTGATGGAGAGGGTCACTGCTACCACTATCACTATACACAGGAACAGTAGAATGTAATCTGAAAATTAGCAATGTTAATGAGTGTTCATAAAATTAGCAATGTTACTGAGAGGTTGTATAATTAATGTTTTGGTCTTCACTCTTCTTCCACTGGAATCAAATTTATAGTAGGAGGACTGGAGGAAAGTTCCCTCAAAAGCCCTGTTTTAAAGCGAGTTCCAGGACCTTTATAACAAGTACGTGAAAAGCAGTTCCAAGAAACTGTGAACTTTAAGAATTATACCCTAAAATTAGTTTAAAAGTTTATTTTGTACGCTAAAACGATAAATTGATAAATAAATCGTTACAGTCTCCAAGTCTATGAAAATACTGCTTTAAAAACTTATTTTTAAAACCTCTTTGTAAAAGTTCAGAAATATTTAAGTATGCAGCTCGTCCAGGTTTGGAACTTTGCTCCAACTCGAACTGAAATTTTGCAACATCCCAACTAATAATTATTTGTAATTTACTCGAACGATTTTAATTTTAGATTTTAACATGATAATTGATGAAAATTAAAATGGCCGAAGGTCCAAATTTTGATAAAAAATGTGGAAATTTGTATTTTATGACTCGCTGAAGTTAACAAAATGTTCGTCATTCTCCACAACAAAATGTTACCAAACGCGACAAAAGCTCAAGAAATCATTTGAAACTACTGATTATATTGAATTATTAAACAGCATCAGATATATGCTAAGGCAAATTCTACCATAAAATGATGTATCAAACCCGACAATATCTCGGGGAACAATATTGGTAATTTCTTGTAGGTTTATAACCTACCAGGACGCGCGCCGAGTTGGACTCGTCGACGGTCGAACAAATATTTTACGAGTATCACCCGTTAAGTAATTTCATATAACAATTTAAGTGCATTAATGCTTTTCAAACAAAGTTACAACGAATTCTTCATGTCATGTAGGGCATCCTGGGTTTGGACAGGATATGCCCGTTTAAAATATTTCCATCACGTTACATTACATAATTCTCAATAAATGTAATAGATTTGTAGTGTTGTAATTAGTTTAAAACTACAATTTGTCGTATTTCAATTTGACACAAATATGACAAATACGACAAATATAACACAAATATGAAAAAAATATGACAAAAATATGGCAAAAATATGACAAAAGGCAAAAATATAACCAAAATATGACAAAAACATAACAAATATAACCTAGAAATGCAACTCTTACGTTTCCTCTCCAGACTGTTCTTGCAGCCGCACCACCTCTGCCAGGGGGTCATGTCCTCCCTCTCAGCTTTAGTCAGCCCATCCTCCTCATTCTCAAATATCTGGCTGCCCATCTCTCTGGGACAACTTTAGCTACTTTGTCACGTTATTTTCACATTCTGTACGGCTAAAAGTTGTCCAGCCCCTTTTTTAGCACTTTCCTGGTTATTTATTTGACACTTTTAGAGTGGGAAAAGCTGGATGAAATGAAGAATTAAATGTGTAAAGAAAGTCAAAAGTTCATGTAAAATCTGGATTGGAATATAATCTATAAGTCGCATAGTTGAAATGTTCCAAGAGCCTTTTCCTTGTCGCATCAAACGGGATCAATAGAAATTTGCCCAAAAAAACAAAGTCAAAAGTGATGTGAATGTGTCCCAATACCCATTGACCATATTTGCAACATAACAATTTCTTCGGTGTTGTTATTCAAGGCTACTCTACAATTTTCGCTAGCGTAGCCGTGACTCTAATAGTTCTAAATTAAAAGTATCGTTACCGACAAAACAAATTCAAAATTACGACAGTCGCGACTCATAACTTTATAAGCTTGAGAAAATCCAACATAACACGGCGACTACAATTAGAGTCCAATTAAAAATAACTTAAAGAGTGAAAGTAAGTAGTGAAAGTAAAGCCAACCAAAGTTCTGTGAGATATCTTATTTCGTTATATATGGTTGCCTACATGAGTTTCAGTTACGTCCTGTTTCCTCAACACCATTTAAACTTTCAACGACGACAAAACGGCGCATGTTAAGCTTCTGTTAGAAAAGTAGAGAGAAAATCCAACAAAAACAGGAAAGTTCCAAACATACAGCTACTATATATTATATATATATTAGAGTCTGCAGAGAAATAACTATCAAAGCTGTGTGGTGGCAGTCTACACCGTGCTGTTTCATTTACTCCACGACAGTTCGAGAAATAAGGTATACCTTGACTGGCCAATTTACCAGAGAGCTAAGGTGTTAGCACTACTAATTGATGCGATACCTTCCAAATATGCAAACTGATGATAAATTGCATATCCTGTATATCAGAGTCCTTCACACACAGTCACACACAGTCACACACAGTCACACGACACACAGTCACACAGTCACACGACACACAGTCACACAGTCACACGGCACACAGCCACACGACACACAGTCACACGACACACAGCCACACGACACACAGTCACACGACACACAGTCACACACAGTCACACAGCTCCACACGACACACAGTCACACGACACACAGTCACACACAGTCACACACAGTCACACACAGTCACACAGTCACACACAGACACACAGCCACACGACACACAGTCACACAGCTCCACACGACACACAGTCACACGACACACAGTCACAATATATTGTGTCGTGTTGTATAGTGGGATGAGTTGTTCTAACGATAGAAGGATAGCAACCGAAGTTGTGTGAATTTGGTTATGATTTGTTAACTATCTCACAATTTTAGCGTAATAATGTGACATTCACGGAAATAGAAATTCAGTACAATTACAAAAGTGCGGTATGGATGGTTAAACCAAAATTTATAATATTATAGTCACAGGTTGATGAGCTAAAAGTCACAATCAATTCTTAGTTAAATTATAAAATCAAGAAGTGATCAACTGCAGAGATTACTGATCTACAGCAATGAAGTGAGGAAAAATTGGCTGAGAAAACGGAAGCACTGATTAGTCGAAAATTGATGTCTAATTTGATTAAGTACTGATAGAGTAATGCAGAGTGAAAGAGAGAGAGCCGTATTAATGACCGAGCAGAATATGTTGGATTTATTCAAACTTTGTATGGAATTAAATGAAGACACTGTCTAGGATTGAACAAACGTTTAACACCTTTATCACAATTCAAGAATTTACACCTTTCCTTGTGATCTTCGCGGATCATTTTATAGTTTTATGGGACAACTATATAATAAAAGTTAATAAGTTGTGAGCCAGTTTCTATGGTGATTATATTACAATTTATGGGCTTGTTTTGCCTTAAAATATAAATTTAAACCTAGCGTGCATTTATTTATTTAAGTTATTTTACTAACTTTTTGTCTTACACACAGTATATAGTAGGTTTTTGTAAAGATTAAGTTATGACAAGCTCAACACCTATTTACTATGCTGTTAACTTAATAAGCTTAAACAAGAGCACAAAATTACTATGTTGTCAATTTAATAAGCTTAAACAAGAGCTCAACATCGCTATGTTTTAAAGTTAATTATAATAAGAAGATAAGAGACCGGAGCAAACCGTTTCTTGGAAACGGTTAGATGTATTGAGTTATTTAATTTATCTAACTTATTTACGTCCGACCTAAATTCAATGTTCTAAAGCTTATAAAATGTCGATGAACTTTTCAATCTTATAGATTTTGCCATGACAACTATCTTTAAATGGCGGGCACTTGTTTTCAATTCAATTTAACAATTGGAATTTATTTTAGTTAAATCTTGCTTCCCTAATTTCCGGGTAGACTAATCTTGCTATTTTTAACTTTCGTCTGAGAGATTTATAGCTTTAGCTTAGTTTGTTTCATAGTGGTCAGCTCTAAGCAACCCACAAAAACCAAAAGTCCAATCACAACCACTAAAGTTTTATGGATTGCACTTAGATCGCCTGGAAAGATAATGCATTTACAAAATTCAAATGTTAACGGTATACAATATACATTTCAGCGTTCAAACCCAACTGAATGAATGATATACTAGTGCTCTAGAGGTACTTGAAATGTCAAAATATTTGGTAATTATTGAGAAAACTTAGAATATTTTGACTTAATTTAATTACAAGTAACTGAAATAAGTAGCAATATGTAACGTTAGTTTCAAAAAATCAAAGCAGTAACGCGTACAATTTAAAACAGCACTTAGATTGTCACATCAAAATGTTTACCGCGTGTCAATCAACGCTGGAAAACTTCCTAGCCTGCTATGTGAATTTATAATGAACATTAAAAATGCCTCCGCTGAAATTCCAAATTAAAATCAGAAGCTGAACCTTCGACGGAAATCATAAAATATGACGGTTACCGACTTGTCAGGGAAGCCATGGTATAACATCCTCAAAATATAATCCAGCTGCTGAAAAACGTAGTCTAACACCATCTAGTGATACAAATATTTTCCCTCCTTGATGTTTGTAGGACGTTTTAATGAATGATCTAGGTGATAATTATGTTCAGTTTCAGACTAGCGTTCTGTAACTTTATGGGTACTGAGAAGTCTTTCGAGATCTCTTCAGTTTTGGAGTTCAATCTGTCATGTTCCTTCAAACTTTTACAGTCTTACAGACTGTTTCCAGCGTAATTCCTAATTTGATCATACTCAGAGACGCACGCTTCAGCATGCGTAGAGATTGAGGTTTCACGTTAGACTAAGTTAACTGATAGATGTCACTATTTATCGCTTATATCTGTTTGAACTGTAGCTTTACTGAGATCTAATAAAATAGAAATACTCAATAAGGTATGTGTAATTATAACCCTAGATTGTACAATAGATTGCACTATAGCTATCACCGTCCTTTACTTCTAGAAGTTTAAAAGTTATGAAGTCCCTAATTCACTATATGAACTATAAATCCTCAAATTTTGTAGCTGATATGTTAATTATGATCAGTATCACTAAGTAATGATCAGGCTGTAAGAAAAAAACACGGACTAGCTGGCCGGAGGTATACATCAATCGTGTAAGCAGTTCAGAAGTTTCAAGTTAGCAAGGGATTGTAAAGTGAGACTGTAAAGTGAGACAGTAAAGTGAGAC